GCATTGCAGGTCTTTACAGTAATGGCCTGTCAGGAACTTGATCTATCTCAACATAAAAGCCGGAGCACAAATCAATAATAGGGCAGCAAATCAAATCATTATCAGACTAGAATACCATTCCCACGAGCAGGTGGATTTGCTCCCGGGGCGCCTGACAGCGGTATAGCTGAGGAAACTGCATTGGCAGGGTTAGCCTTGGGAAGAGAGAACGGAAACATGTGCCACTGGGTTAGCAATCAAGGCAGTGGGTGATGTGAATAAATTTAAAATCCCCAACACCTGAGAGAGAAAGGCTAAACAGAGATAAAAGTATACATGGTACAGGGGAATTCTGGGTAAGAGGTCTCATGACGAACACAAATGTTCTCATTTCTTATGTCCATCCAGCTCTGTGAATTTTGGCATTTCAGGAGAAGTATGGTGTTAAAAGCAACCAAGTTATCAATCTCTTTCATCGTAATCAACATTTTAAAAAAGAGGAACAACAGTAGTAAAAAGTCAGGTATGAATGAGCCTGAAATGCTTTAATTAACTTATAAGGAAGGTGAATAAAAAAAGAATGTATCTACAAATTCCCAGCCTCTGGATCTGTGTAAAATCCTGTTGCAATCACCATAATCCACAAAGGGGTGGATTAGAAGAACAACAAATTCAACATTTTATAAGAAATTTGACAGTCAAGGACTTTGTAATTTCTCATCAATTTTAAGCAAACTGAAATTCACTGAAGGGAAATTCTGTAAAGAAATACGTGTGTTGCCCTGGCGGGTCTGCCTCACTGGTTAGCGAGGTGATTCTGGGCACGTACCTTGGTTGCAGGCCCATCCCCAGCTCTAGTCAGGGTGTGTGCAGGAGGCAACCAATCAATGTGTCTCTCTCACATCCATGTCTCTCTCTCTCTGTCTCTCTCTCTCTTTTTCTCTCTCTCTCCCTTCTGCTCTCTCTGAAAAGCAATGGACAAAATATCCTCGNCTCACATCCATGTCTCTCTCTCTCTGTCTCTCTCTCTCTTTTTCTCTCTCCCTTCTGCTCTCTCTGAAAAGCAATGGACAAAATATCCTCCAGTGAGGATTAAAAAAAAAAAGAAACGTGTTTGTTGCTGTCAGTAAACTTCAGGCCAGGAAGCCATTCACTCGAGGAACTGAGGCCTGCGTAAAACTTACTAAGGATGAAGTACAATGAAATATCTATTAGAAAGATACAGAAACGTCTTTCCATTCACAGGGCACTACCCAGCCACAGACAGGGAGCTGCAATGCTCCGACACCCCTGCAGTAGAGACAGGGTTCCAAGGAGTAGAGACATGCTATCTCTTGCTTCTCTTAAAACCCTAACACTAGCTCAAAGCGAGCTCCCTGGGCCTGTTTAAAACCTATATATTAAATAACCTATCACATTTTATTGAGCATCCCCTGTGAGCTAGACTGGTACCAACAGGAAGATAAGATTTAGTCCCATCTTTAGCAGATTTAAATTTCTTAGACAAATGACTCCTTATTTTTTTTTAAATGAGATTTGTCCCTGTCATTACGATTGAAAATGTCCTCATGTTTAGAGCTGACCTGTGAGCCCCACACGAGAGAAGAGTATGCATCAGGAGTTGGGCAGGGTGCTGAATCCTCACAGTGGGAATGTGGGACCAGCATCAAGTCCAGGATGAGCTTTGGGACTGAATAATTAGTTTCCTGGCAAATGTCTTCATTAGGAAGTTTTCTGCTGTGGTTAAAAACTGAGCCACATGCTGCTGTCCTAGCACTTTTATTTGGGGTGACACAGTTGAAGGAAAAAAGGGGATATGATTTCTCATGAAATGCACTGAACACACATAGAGTTTCAGATACAGAAAGGAAGGAATTTATTTTTAAATATGTATATATTTTTAAATATGTCTTTATTGATTTCAGAGAGAGGGAGTGAGAGATAGAAACATCAATGATGAGAGTCATTGATTAGCTGCCCCTGCACGCCCCGGGGATCGAGCCACAACCCCGGCATATGCCCTGACCGGGAATCAAACCGTGATTTCCTGGTTCATGGGTTGATGCTCAACCACTGAGCCACGCTGGCCAGGCAAGAATAAACTAAACATACTTCATTCCCAGGAAGAGAAAAAGCTTCAGGTCAGATTTGAATTCACAAAAAGAAATTCCATTGGATTTTTGAGGAAACATAAGTTAGCCCCAAATACTGAATAAGCATTAAGGAGAAACTACCAACAATGCAGTAGTGAAAAGCCCCGGGCAAGTGTTAGCTTTGACTCTAGGCTTTTTTGAAACCTCTGCGGGGATGGGTATCACCAAGAGAGGCTCCCCGAATAGAACAGTTGTTAGAAAAAATGTGCTCTGGGAGAGTTGTAACCGACACTGCTCAGCCAGCCTCAGAATCCCTGGAGTGTGACAATAGTGTCCCCTTCCTACCCTGTATGGAGGTGGAGAATCACATTTCTTTCATTTAGGGACAACTCACAAGAAAGACCAATCTCTGTATCCTCATATGTAGTGAAGGGTTGGGGTTGAAAATATCTAAGCAGAGACAAAACAAATCAGGGTATGATTCAAAGTTCTTATAGCTGATTCAGAATGTCTCTAAATATTGGAAAGGAACACTCATTTTTCAGAGAAAGGGAGAGAGGAAGAGAGGGAAGGAGGGAAGGAGAGAGAGAGAGAGAAACATCATCGATTTGCCGCTCCACTTGTTGATGCATCATTGGTTGATTCTTGCATGTGCGCTGACCCAGCATCGAACCCGAAACCTTGGCATATCAGGACGATGCTCTAACCAACTATGCTACCTGGCCAGGACCTAAGCAACTGGGTTTTCTATATGTAATTTTTCAAAGGAAAAAATAGGTAATTGTTTTTCATTAAGTGCTTAATGCTCATGTGCAAAATTAAAACTAAGAAATGAAAGGGAGCTCAGTCCAATAGTAATGAAGAGGGAAAAGTGAAGGAAGCATGGCACAAAGAAAGCAGGAGAAGGAAAAATGTTTTTTAAATGGCACAAATGTGAAATATATATTGCTATTAAAAGATGATCTCAGATTGGATTAAAAATAAATCCAGCACAAATACTGAATATAAAAAATCTATACAAAATGAAAACAGAGCCCTGAAGGTAAAGGCGTGGACAGCCACACACCAGGCTAACAACGGCAGGGAGGGCAAAACAGGCCAGCAGTAAGATCAGACGGGGAAATTCTGTTGCTGTTTCTGCATTGTAATGGTAATTGTGGTTATAGTTTTAAAACGTCCTTAACTCTTAGAGACATATGAAGTATTTACAGGTTAAATGACATGACAATTTGCTTTCAATGCAGAGGGGAGTGCGGGTGGTGGGTGGATGCGCAGTAGGTGGGGTATGAATGAAATAGACTGGCCTCGCGATGACAGCGCTGAAGCTGGTGACAGTGCAGACACACAGGGCTTTACCATACCATTCCCTACACTACTGTAGGTGCTTGAAGTTAAAAAATTTAAAGAATTCAAGTGAAAAGTAATAAATGACACAAAGGAAGATGTGCTGAAAAGCTATAAAGTAACATGGACAAAAAACGATGCTTTAAAATGTGTAAAGGAAAATGATAAACATGCAAAGAGGAACTGACAAATCCATAATCATAATAAGAAAATTTTAAGACTTTGATTAGCAATCGAGGATCAAGGAGAAAAGAAATAGTGAAGACGCTGAGGATCCGATTACACAGCGAGCAAGCTCACCCGTCACGCACATCTGTGCCCGACAGACAGACTCCGTGTGCTTCCCAAACCCTTGAGGACCTCCCCCAACGGCCCCGCATTAGGTTACTCCGTATGCTCAGCTATCATTAGACTCTCTTACCATTAGAACATATTCACGTGATACGCTTGCAATCAAAAATATATTTAAAAAGAGAAAAGTGACATTTATACTGTTAGGTTGTGATAGGCTTTTTAAACACCAATCATTTCCTGTCCCATAAAGCCACTGTTATAAGGCTGTTATGAAAGTGAAGCTGGAGAGGTGAAGTCATTACCCCAGGTCACTGACCAGTTCTGCTGATGCTAATAGCCCAGTCCACCTGCCTCTCCACCTCTCACAAAATTTTTAAGAAGATCCAAGACCACCAAAGCCTAACTTTTAATTTCTCTTCCACACAGCGCACTTAGGATTGCATGACTAAAAATCCAACTTTGGCCCAGCCAGCATGGCTCAGAGGTTGAGCATTGACCTAGGATCCAGGAGACCATGGTTCAATTCCCAGTCAGGGCACATGCCCGGGTTGCGGGCTTGATCCCCAGTGGGGGGCATGCAGGAGGCAATGACTCTCTCAGCACTGATGTTTCTCTCTCTCTCCCTTTTCTCTGAAATCAATAAAAATATATTTTTTAAAAATTTCAACTTTGGTTGAGAATGGATACAAGCAGAATATTTACTGAAAATCACTCTGCTCTTAAGGCTTTTCCTTTTTATTTACAGGAGTTGTTATAAGAATTGTGCTTAATGTTCTCGGGTTTTTTTTCACAGGATGTAGCTGTTTTAATCCCTGGAGTCTGACTGACTGAAGGAGAGTCACTTCACTGTCTCACATGGGAGTTACATCATAGCAGGACCCTTTCAGGCCACTGGTGTTCATTTCTTCACAACCAGATGTTGCCTCTATGACTCAGGGGAACAGTGCATCTTCTTTTTTGGTTAATCCTCACCTGATGACACTTTTTCCATTGATTTTTAGAGAGAGTGGGGGGGGGGAAACATTGATGTGAGAGACACACTTCGATTGGTTGCCTCCCATGTGCCCCAGACCAGGGTGGGGATCGAATCTGCAGCCCAGGTGCATGCCCTTGACCAGAACCGAACCAGAGACTATTCGATGCCAGGTCAAAGCTCTAACCATTGAGCACACTGGCCGGGGCAAGGTGTACCTTCTAAACACCCACCAGGCCCAGGGCAGCCCTCGCCCAGAGGCCCAGTCTGATGGAGGATGATGCAGACTTCACGCAAACACACGGTGCTTGACTCACCCCACGCGGATCTTCAGCATGCCACTGAACAGCTCGGGGCTGTTGGAGATGATCCAGCCGATGTGGATGACCAGCTCCTGCTGAATGACTGCCTCCCTCTCGTCATGGGTGTTGCACTTGTCGTAGATGATGTTCTTGATCACTCTCGGAGACAAAGGGTTCGAGATCACCTCTTCCTCGTGCCCAAAGGCACCCAGAGTTACCTATGAGAGGTGGAATTTTATTATAAAAATCTCCTACCTGCTAAAAGGTAAAAGAAAAAACTCAGGGCTCGAGATGACTGGCAGGCTGAAATTACTCTACAGGAGCTAGGGAATTAGGTGGAATAACTGCTCCCGCTTTTTATGAAAATGGCTTTGACAGCATGATTCCCACCGGGGTTCCTATGGTTCAGAGTCTGGACTGAAATCTGAGTGCAGGTAAAGGCCCCAGTTCGGGGAGTGAAGGTGAGTGGCTAAAAGCGGGGAAGGAATATAAATAACTATTAAGAGAGAATTATTCCGAATGACTGTAGCACTAGAGAGTCCCCAGAGAAACCAGGACACATTGAATAGTTTCACCTTCCTGCAGTCTATACACTTAACATCTGGTAGGACGTCTCACTCCTTTTCTAGTTTCTCGTGCTTGCTCTTCAACAACACTGGCGCCTTTTCAAGGTTATGCCGGCATGACTAGTGAACTCTAAAACACTTGCTGGTGTCTCTCACCCCCGCGGAGGGAAGTCAATGTGGCTGCCCACAGGCGGGCAACAGGAAAGCACAGAGGGGGCAGCAACGAAAACTCAAAGCAGAAAGTGCTGTGAGCAGAAAGTGGCAAGAGGAATCTCTGGTCTGTGCGCTCCGTCCTCGGCGGTGTGCACCCGGAAGGTCTGCAGGCCTCCTTCCTCCTCGTGCCCTCCCTCCCTCTGTCCAGCATCATTAGAGAGGCAGGGAGAGCACAGTGTGGGCCCTTGTATCTGTGGGGTGAGAGGAAAGCAGAACACGGGGGGCCCTTGTATATGCAGGGGTGAGGGGAGAGCAGAATATGAGGGGCCCTTGTGTCTGAGGGATGAGGAGAGAGCAGAACATGGGGCCTTTTGCTTCAATTTTGTGATGGATGAAAATTGAGAAATTCTAGTTTATTGCATCACGAGTGGTACTGACCAGTTAGTCCATGTGCGATTATGTTTACTAAGTCAGTGAGTGAAGGAGAGAACAAACAGAAGGCACAGAGGGGCCTCCAGAAGCAACGGCGACTAAAGCCTATTTCATCCCAGAGAGCTCGAGGTGACCAGACCGTGCTTTGCAGAAATACTGCTTCAGTTTTCAGAGATGAGCAGATGCAAACTTTGGATGCTCCACCCTCACTTCTTTACTGTACAGGGGTGAGATGCAGTCAGTGAACGGGCCTCATGCCCCTGATGCAACTGTGTACAGGAATGTTTCCCTGGGAGATGTGCTGGTCTGACGGGCAGCGGTCCAGCCACAGCCTCAGGACAGGGTCTCAGATCACAGGCTGCAGGTGACCTCTAGACAGCGTGCAGAGTGGACATGACCCACAGGCCACCTTTAGATAGCATGTGAAGTGGACATGACCCACTTTCTCCCCAAAGGTCAGGTGCCAGCGACCTCAAAGATCTCCAAAACCTTCTCATATGCTCAGGTGTAGAGAAATTAACTGTATTTTCAGATATAGTTCAGGGATAAACCCAAGGAAAACATCTTCCCAGAGCCTGTTTACTTCCCTTCAGATGGGCTCAGGGCAGGGTGATAGCACAGGACTTGGGCTGGAGGTGAGCACTGCAGGGAGGAAGACATGGATGAGTTACTTCCTGTACCTTGTCTGTTTACCTGACAAATGGGGATGAAAATTCTACCTCTTAATAATTTGGAGAAAACAGAAAAAATAACATGTGGAAAGTGATTTAACTTCTTTTCAGGAGTTTTCTTTAAATTGATTTTCTTTACAATCATTTTTTTAAATTGATTTGAGAGAAAGGGAGAAAGACAGAGGAAGGGAGAGAGGCAGAGAGAGAGAGAAACATCCACTGGTTGCCTCCTGCACGCATCCCAACTGGGGACTGAGCCCACAACCTAGGTATGTGCCCTGACCAGGATAGAACCTGCACATTTTCTGGTGTTCGGGACAATGCTCAAGAGTCACCCATCCAGGTTACAACAATTTTTTCATTGTTGTTAAATGTTACAGGATAAAATTGCTATTTCTAACATTTCAACAGCTGGCTATCAGGATGCAAATAACGTCAATTATAATAAGCTAAGAGCCCTGGAATAGGAGCAATGGGTTGATATCATTAAAGAAGGTTAAGGACCTTCATAACTTTCAAGCTCACCCTGTCCCTGGGTTAATGTTCAAGAGCCGACAATCAAGCACACATACTCCCCAGGAAGAGAAAGGGCAAGCAGGTTTTCATTCCAACCAAACGAGGGTTCAGCCAGGTAATCAGAGCATAGAGAAAACATAACAGAAGCTGAGCAGCCACATCCCACTCCCATAAGCACATGCACAGCTCAGTGCAGCCCATGGCCACCAGTGCCCACTCGAGCTGGGCCCAGGCTGGCACCCTGGGACAGTGTGGAACAGGCCGTGGGCCCTGACCTCCAGGGCTCATCCCCCCGAGAGAGACATGTTTCAATAACTGGGGCCTAGGGCAGCTTGTGAGAGGGTCACAGGCCTGTCACAAGGACCAAGAGCGGGACTGCTAACCAGAGATGGCTGGAGGAGCAGCAGACAGGAGCTAGACAGGTGGAGGGGGATGGGGAGAGGTGGCTCAGAGGGCCAAGGATCAGGGCATCCTGAACGGGGGAGAGTCTCACATGAAGGAGAAGGGAGACAGACCTTTGCTATCTGCCTACTTGGCGCCCCCAGCCTAACCTGTCTGCCCTTTTCTGGGCTAGTATCTTCACCGATTTCGAGTCAATGCAGGGGTTAAAACAACAGCTGTAAGGTAGCGGGAAAAGGGAGGTTCTGTTTGGCAACTGCATCTCCGAGACGAGGTGCTGCTTGGGGAAGGATCCTCTGTAGACATGCCCGAGGTACTGAGAACGTGGTTGTGGAGGCCTAGGACACTGAGGGTGTCATATTTAAAAGCAAGGGTCCTACCCAGGAGCTGTTGTGACTGTGACTGAGTGCAAGTCTGGAGATGGGACACTTACCTGCTTGCCCTGCACTAACACATTAGTAATGGATGGGGCCAGGCTGTCCACTACTTTACTTAAAAGGCTTGCTGCGTGGCGCACCACCGACCTGGGGGCAAGAAAAGAGCAGGCTAGAGGTTCACAAATCTGACAGATGACGAGTGACAGGGGCCCCGAGAGGGAAACTTAGAAATATGCACAACTAGTTCTTCATATAATAATTTGGAGGAAACATTGAACCCAAGACATTGGACCTAAATGTCGACATTTCCCAGACAGCAGGCTGACCCTGCAGGACTAGGGAGGGTCCCTCGACCTCACCTCGGCCACAGAGACATCTGTGCCGTTATCAACTTCACAAGGAAGGTGGGAGCCTGCCTGTGCCTCTGATGGGGAGCGGGCAGGAGGAGGAATTCAGTGAGAATTCTGGTTTTGCATTAAAATTCATGACTAAAGCTGTCATGTCATCTTCTCCTGGTTCATGTCATCTATTCCTACAGCCATTCTTAATCATGTTTCTTTTGGTGCCTCGGTAACCAAATCCTGGGTTACAAGGCTCACTCTGCTCAGTTTTGGAAAGTGTGACAATGAAATACCAGCATTTTTTTCTGGAGAAAGCCAGCGTGTTGGAGGAGGAATTCACACAGCTGTTTTTACATTTCTGAAAAAGTCTTAGACTATAAGGAGAACAGATTTTTTTTAAGCCCAGCACATGCAATACATAAGACTTTTTTCTCCCTCAAAAGTAAAAACTGATGTGGAACTTTTAGATGGAAAAAAAATTTAAATGTAGGTTTAAAACTATTTCCTCGTATTTCAGGATATCTATGAAAGCTGACCTATAAAAAGCATTTCTATTCCTCAATCTCAACATTGATGCAATAGTAAAAGTTAAGTCAATAACTGGTGCAGTTAGTGAAACAGACTCTTCTACTTTAGAAAAGCCCCCACCCCCACGCCGGGCACACTCCACCTCGATGCAAGGAAGCCACAGCTCAGGCAGCTCCAGCGCTGCTGCGTGTTACCTGCTTCCCGTGAACCAGTAAGGTGGTAATGTGAGGGGCTATGGAGGAGGAAAATTTCTGGGTAAATGCAGCCCCGGAGCGAACCGCCAACCTGGGTGTGTCAGTGCAAAGCCATGAAAGGGAAAATACAGTAAATACAAGTTTTGCGAGTTTGTTCTTTTAAACATAATAGCACCATCAATGTTTGCTGGTCAATGATTTATCTAAAATGCAAGTATGACACATAAAGCACGACCCAGGTTTGCTTAGCCAAAGGAAGATCATGGACCACAGGGGACCTGCGCTGGCTGTGAAGCCACATCTATGAGCCTGCACGCCTCACTATGCTGGGGATTCACGGTGAAAGCTGAGACTCAACCACAGGGCCATTACATCATTCCTTCTGGGTTGGAAGGGTATAGTCACTATACTCATAGAGCTGGAGTGCTGCTGAGAGGCTGTTTATCAATACTCTGATTTTAGAGATTAGAAACCCGAGACTCACTCAGATGAAGGAGTTTCTTCCATGTCTTGAGACTTGTTTTTTTCAAAATTAGAAAATAATGGGTCACCAAAAAATACATATATACACTCTTACTTCTAATTAGATCCTGCCAGTAAGACTGTTAGAACTGCTTCAGAATGAAGAGGGCCACGCACTGAGGCATGCTACCCCGCTGTGAACTTAAACTGCTTTACTTCAACTTACCTAGTTTGTGTTTCAACCCCTGGAAGAGTCTACCGCTGCAGAGCGTATTGGTCATTTTCATGAAGCCACTACCGTCCCTGGGACCTATTCCGTCTATGTGGTGCGAGAACTGCCCGTGAGTGTATTCTGTGCTTGTGATGAAATGGGACCTTCCACAGGGCAGGTTTCCTGAACACAAGGTGGAGCCTAAAGCACTTGCTGGGACAAGGCAGGGCAAGGTCACCAGCCTGCCACTCCCACAAACGATCACCAGGCTCTGTTCCTAGGGTCTTTATCCCCAGATATGTTTAGTATCTTGGGAGAGCACGACACACCAGGATGTAGCAGTCATGGTGCCACGTCCTCAGGGTTGGAAAGTGAAAATTAGGATGAACAACACCTTTGAGACTGGTCCATTATCTTCAGGCTCTTGACTATGAAAACACACAAAATAAAACACAATGACAAGGACACTTATACAAACCAAAGCTTTTTGCTGCCAGCTTTTCTATAGACTCTCTCGATGTGATCAGAAACGGTACCTAGACGTCGGATAAGAGAGTCTTTGTTGAAAGAGGTTTTCATTTAATGCATAACATTTACTCTCCTTTAAAAAGCCACTCGTGGATTTTCATCCTTTCCACTCGAGTTGGTACCTCCACACCCACTAATGTTCTGAACCACCTGGCACACTTAAATATGTAACCCAAATAGATAGTGCATACGTACCTACCCTTGTTGCTATTTAGTTTGAGCCTGTGATTTTAGTAAGTACTGTATTTCTTGAAATTTATTTTCTTAATATATGCAATCTAAGTTTTTAACAAGTAAAAATGTTACTTTAATTTACTGCAGAAAATAAAAAACAGAATATAGCCAATTGAGCAAAAGCTGTAGACTCTGAATATATATGATTCTTCACTTATTTGTCCAACAAAACGCTATGGAGACTGTATGTGCACCATCGCTCCGACGTGCACCGCTGCTCAGCCACAGGCTTCGCTCTCCGGCGCCAGCTCTCACGGGTCAGTCCTCCTCTCCTGTCTGCTTTGTCAATAAATTAGCCAGGTGATGAGACAGAGCACCGAACAGGAAGCAAGGGCAATGAGCATGACCTTCATTTCACCCTGAATTTATTTCTACAGCTTTGTAATTGGATAAAATCACATTCAGACTGTATACATGCTTGTGATTTTCATAAGGTTTTACAGATTTAAAACATTTAAAGTCTTTCAAATACCTAAGTGAAAGATGAGTATTACTCTCAAGTTTATAAAAATGGTTTAAAATTTTTTCTCTCAGCATTTTCATGATAAGCTGTTTTATATAAATATTGTTTTATTTTAAAGCACTACTAAAATAATCATTCTAGAACCTCAGTTCCTAGTGAAATGTTTGCTTTTTTGGAATCCTATTGTTTTAAAGTATAAATTTCAATGAATGTCCTCAATATAATTGGGATTCTGATTATACTTATAGTTTCAAGACTAATTAGAAATGAGAGATTCTGTTTGAAATTTGCTTAAAGTTCTTCTGCCTTTAATTAGGTAAGAAAATTAAGATTTTTAAGATTTAAATTAAGATAATTAAGATTCAGTTAGCATGTATAACACTCAGGAAGGTTATCTCTTAGCTGCAATAATGTAAAAACTAAGTAGGCCTTATTCAAATAAGCAATCATGTTCAGTTCACTACCACAACTATAGATTGTATTAATTACACCGCTGTTTAAAATACGGACTTGATTTCCATTTCTAACCAAAGCAACATGCCCCTCTGGACAGGGGACTTTCAGATGAACCAAAAACTGTGAGTAGCTAGACAATAAGTACTCGAGTTGTATTCTGCATTGTTCTGCATTAGAAAATGCCAGACGCAGACCATGATGGAGAATTCAAAGGTTCTTAAGAGCAGTGTCTCAACGTTCGAATGTGGATTTCAGGGATAACTGGGTTTCATCATGAATGCAGAGTGGGTGGGCATGGTCAGAAGTGATCTATTTCTGTTACCAATCTTTAGAGTGCAATTCTATCACGTGCCATGTTCCATTCCAAACGGCTGCTGCAGACTAGGAGGTAGCTAATTTTTATAGCTATAACAATTCAATACTGTGCTTGAAAACGTGCAGAAAGTAAAACTGGAGGCAGAAACTATCCGTAAACAACTGTGGAGTCACCAGAGGTTGAGAGTCACAGGCAGAATCCGGCTCCAATACCATTCAGACAATCAGAGAAACACCCAAGTGTCACTAAGCAATTCAGAAGCTTACGCATCATACAGCCTACTCCATGCCAGGCGGTATGAATGAACATTTCCCACTTAAAAATTTTTTTAAAAAGATGTAAAGGAGAAGAAAGTGGCTTGTGATGTTGGGTGGACATCCATCACGCACATTTGGTAGCTGCTCAACAGCAGAGCAGGCCCACTGCTTGGAATACTCTCAGATGCGTGCTCTTACCTTCCTTTGTGATGAAATTTGGGCCTTCCCTCTTGAGCAGGATGCCCAGCAGGATGACTTGGCTCGCCAGGCAGCCGCAGTCCTGAGAACATAGATCACTGGGAGTGACAATGGGTACAAAAGGCACTACAAGGGTAACTGATCACGAAACCAGAGGATTCAGAGAGGAAACATTCTGCTATGGAACCGAGGAAAGAGGAAATGCCACTGATACACCACCAAGCACAAGATGACACCACTCAACTGTTCACCTTAGATACACTGGAGAGAGGTGGTAGCCAAGCTGGCTTCCTGGGGCACTAGGATTTAATAATCAAAATTCCCAGGAAACAAGACAGGCAATGGATAGAAAGTAAGCTATCTACAAGCATTCATACTCATTCTGCCACTCTCTGAGAGATGTGGCCCAGGCATTTAACCACTGCCTTCTTGACTTCACTTACTCATAAATGGAGACCATGCTGCTACAAAGCTGCTATGAAGAGGTGGATGAAGGGAGGAGGGGGCGTGCGCTACGTGCTTTTGGTGTAGCGCATCATAGATATGCTTAGACAGTACTGATCAATAACAAGGATGGATGCTGTCTGGCAGGATCTACTTTTAGCTTACATGCTCAAACTTTTATGGCCCAACAAGATGTCACAATATTTACATTTCTACCATTAGAACTTCATTTCCTCAGATAATTACTATTCTCTAACCCCACCCCCCTCTTTTAAAATGCAAATAACCTTAGGGACGGTAAAATATTAGGTTGCTAACATAATAGTCATATGGATGTGGTCATAGGATTGCTTTCCTCAATGACTGGAGAGACTGAAGGGAACATCAGACCTAAAAGCTGGGGAAGGAGAGATCGGGTAGTCGAAGGAGGGCAAGGGCACTGAGGACAAATGGAGGTCCCAAAGCAATACCGCTGACTTAGCTTCTGTAATGGGCCATACGATACGTCACACCCAATAAAACCCAATTCCTCCCCACTCCTTAAGTATCTGTAAGACATTCATGCTCATTTAGACCTGGCCCTGGGTGCAAACAGGCGTCTACTGCCACGTTAACTGCTCCCTTCTCTGAGAGGACAAATTAGCACACACTTGGCCTTGGGCTTCCTGCTCTGGCAGCCTCACTCAGGCCCCAGGAAGGGCACCCTCCTCACTTGCAGTTTCTGCAGAATGTCCTGGGTCGGCCTATTTCTCCACTCAGCAATGGTGACATCTGGCTGCTGCTCCAGCTCAGGAGTGCTGGAGGCGCTGCTCTGTCGTTTGACTTTTGAATGTTTGGGAAGCTCTAGTTCCTCGAAACTCTTAAATTCTGGAAGCCTAGAAACCAAAAAAAAAATGTTTCCAATTTCCTGCACTTATAATGTAATCTCAAGAAACACAACGACAACCCACAGGGACTTACTCCTCTGTGTCACTGATGCGCAGGAAGTCAAGCTGCTCCACCACTGCTCCAGATATTAGTGTCTGAAAGGCAAAGAGAAGACGTGCCTGCTGAAACTCCTCAAGCCCAACCCTAGATCTGGGCACATGCTTTACTGTAAGTACGGTAATACCTCAAAGAAGCTCACCTAACAATATATACAACTCATAACCAATTTCTTAAATGGGCATTCTAAAATCAGGCAGGTTTGCACATACAGCAAACCCCCCTGAAGCAGAGCACAGACACTGAGCTATAAGTTCATGAGTCATATAAATATGGAAGCCAACATGAGATGACCTTAGAATTGTGGTTACTTTTAAGCTGAAATAAAATTCATGATCTATTAAAATGTTAAAGACTATTTTGTTGTTTTGTTGTTTTTTTAATATATTTTTATTGATTTCAGAGAGAGAAAGAGAGAGGGAGAGAGAGAGAGATAGAAATATCAATGGTGAGAAAGTAATTGATTGATCAGCAGCCCCCTACTGGGGATCGGGCCCAAAACCCGGGCATGTGCCCTGACCAGGAATCAAACTCCGATCTCCTGGATCTTAGATTGATGCTCAAAGGCAGAGCCACATCCGGCCGGGCAAGACTATTTTGAAACAAAAAGAAAACATGCAATGCTGACATTGTTTTGGGAAAAAATAATAGGAAATCGCTAGGTCCAGATCATGAAGGGGCAGCACACAGACCACTGGAAAGACTTCGTTTTTCACTCTGTGTGAGTGGAAGTCACTAAAGGCTTACAATGTGGGACATAATCTAACTGCCTTATGACCAGGTAGAATAGAAGAGGGTAACTGTCTTATGGCCAGCAGGCATTTAAGAGATGACTGTTAAAATCCAGGTGAGAGATGATGGTTGCTTGGACCACAATGTCAGAGCTAGAGGTGACAGGAAACGGTCAGACTCGGGATCTAATCTGAGAGCAGAGAAAACTGGTTTGATAATGGACTGTAATGTGGTTATAAAGGAAGAGTCAGGAATAATTCTCAAAGCTGATAACTAATACTGAAAATATAAGAAAATTAATTTTGATTTAATATTTTCTATTTTTATTAGCTCACCCACCCTTAATACTAATTTAGCCCATAAAGTAATTGTTTAATCAGAGTTAATAGGCAAATGCTAAATTCCATTAATAGTCTCTAGAGCTTTTAATTTAAAAGACTCAGTTGGTTGCAGAGGCTCCTGAATTAGTTTTATAAAAGATATTATACTTATAATTAATACCTTAGTTTTGATGGTAATCAAATAAATATTGTTATACATAGGGTGTCCCCAAAAATATATACACACTTGAAGAGCTGACAGCTCAATTTTGAAAATGAAATGTATTTTAATAAACATTGCCTTTGTCATTATTCAAAGTGTGTGTATACATTTTTGGGGAAACCCTAAATGTGTCCCAATATTTGGGATCCCCTATATTTGGGACACTCTATATGGGACACCCTATATGCAATATAATATTTAAAAAGGTCTCCTGCTCTGTGATACTCAGGCATATCCTACTGGGTCCTTTCCAAGCAAACATTCCATCTAGGACCCAATCTGTCATCAATCTGCAACCCCCCAGCTTTGTTTCCTGTTGGCTCCCCATCTAGAATGGACTAGAATAAGAGATCAGGGACCATGTGTATTTTTCATCCCTACATCCGCAGCTCCCAGTGAGGGAGCCCATAAACATCTGGAATCAATGAACTAATCTTTACACACTTCCTACAGGGAGAAGAGCAGAGAGCAGAGCACTGTGCTAGTATAGACGTGAGCAAAGCTTGGCCTGAAAGAAGCTTTAATCCACAGAGAGAAGCAGATACAGGAAACTCACTACACCTAAAATAAGAGCTGAAGCAAAGGTCTGAGCAAAATGCCACAGAAGCACACTGGAAGGAGAAATTAATTCCACTCTTGGAGACGTCACTAAAGAGGTGACATTGACCTAAGTGACAAAATTAAAGTATGACTTAGAAGGCAACTCTAGGACACAGTAACAGCAGAAGAGGAAAAGATTCCGATTACACACAGGGATCCTGAAAGGAGCCAGTGTACTTGGAAAGCAGGAATTAGGGCTGAGTGAATGCACGGAGGGTCCTGGGGGAGGGGCCTGGGAGGAAGGCTGAGCCCCGGGTGGGCTAAGGAAACCTGGAAGCACTTGAACTAAGGTCCGAGAGGAGCATATAGGGGCTGCTTTCTTTTTCTATATTAAAGGAAAGACAAGAGCTGGTGGGGGTGGGGGAGAGGGGTTGTTGTTTAAGGGGTACAGACTTTCAGCTGTGCTAGATGTATCTGTACCCACAAGCCCAAGATTATATAGCAGGTCATGTCACCACTCTGGAGCCCAGCTTCCTCAAATGCAGTAGGGAGGTTAGAGATAAGCTTCTAAAGTCTAAAATTCTGGTTGGGGAGTCACTGCCACCGTTCGAGCATCAGACTGGAAGGATCAGGTAAACAGGATGATGACAACAGGAACAGGAAGGTGGGTATGGAGCAACCCTTAAGACACCACCTTCACAGAGCATCTATCAAGAAACAGCTGTTTCTTAACTGGATTAACTGTCTTAACAACAGAAACACATTGCAATCCGAAAGATACCTGCAGTCGGTCAACGTGAACTTTGACTCCTCCAACCTCTCCTTTTTTAAAAGCTGCCAGCATATCTAATATGGGGTTGAATCGGCTACCTCTAAAAATACAAACAGATGAACAAAATATGCATATTAACAGCAGAATGAGAAATTAACCATCTAATACCAAGTGCCCTTTACATACGCAAAGTACTCTGCCAGCCGCAGAGGAACGCAAACATGAGGGGAGGCCCTGCTTCCCAAGGTGCACAGTGCTAGTGGCGGCGGGACTGGTGCCCTCGCTCCTTTCTCGCACCGACCTTATATTGTCTTCCCGGATGAGCACAAGGAAGAGGGGGCGCCCGTGCATCTTCCAGTACTGCTTAATGAACTGCAGGGCATTCTGTGAAGACAAGAACGATGCAGGGCGCCATGTCACGTGCTCAGCCACCAGCGACACAGAGCCAGCAAAACCCTCACATGCCCGGATCTCACAGCCCACCCCGGGGGGATCCAGACTACTTAGGGCAGAAGTGCTCTAGTGCATACAAGCCTGCGAGTAGGAACATGCTCAGGTTCAGCGAGAAACCACTTTGACTTTAAACTTCGTCTTTAAGAGAATCAGTGCACCCAGGACGTAAGGATGCTTTTTTGTGTGGCCTAATAAATAGTTCAAGAATGGCCCGAGGGAGGAAGAACCAACCCAGGGTTTCACCCAGAAGATGAATTCTCACTCTGCGTTACTAAGCTTACAGTGCAGGAGGTAGAAGAGGTTGGACTGAATTGACCTTCAGAAATGTGAAGGTTCTCTCTTTGACTCAGTTTCTACTGCCATCATCATCACATCAGAGACGTGCATACGCTTCCCCCGTGCCAGGCTCTGTTCCGAGTGCTTCACATACATTACCTCGTCTAATCCTCACAACAGCTCCCTATTCCGTTATAATGACGAGACAACCGACACACAGAGAAGTGAAGTCACTGGCCCGAGGTCACACGACTGGTAATGGTGGGGCCAGCATTTCATGGGTGCAGTCCGGCTCTGCCCACTAAGCTTCTCCGAGGGGAAATGGGCGGAGGAGGTTTAACTAATTGGGTGTTACGAGTTAGTTGAGGTTTTCCTTCACATTCTTCATAACACAATTCTTTTGCTAACTCAACTTTTGTTCAAAATGGGATAATCCATTGGTGTCATAGGAACGTGGTTTCCAACCAGCCATATGACTTTATATAGACCAGACTCCATCTATCCCTAAGACTGCAAGTGACTCCACTTTCTCCAAGGCCTGTGGCTTTACTTTCATGCTTCACACTGTGTGACCCAGGGTCAAAGGTCCGGGAGCCCTGGGCGTGAGAACCTATGATAAAATTAGTGGGAACAAAGTCATCCATTTTGATAAGAAGGTGTTCAGAAGCTACCTTGATGTCATCTATCAGCAGCAAAACATCTTGAGACATGTAGAAATCGCTAAGGTCAAAGATGATCGGGTAACAAACCACAGTCTTCCCGAGAATACGATAAATCTGTGGGAGAAATTAAAAATAAATACAAAGCCAACCAGAGGAAAAGGTCCTAGTAAAAATGAAAACTGATGTCTCATTCTGAATAAGCAAATAAAATAATATGCCTTGTACAAAGACACACACTATTAAGAAACTTTAGTTTCCTGCCTGAATCAGTATGTCAGTGAACATGGTCACCTCTACTAAGGCCGACAAAGCCTCTGTGAGTAGATGCCACTATAACCAGGCACCTTAGGATGCTTAGAAATAACAGAGCAAGAGGGAAGCTTGTTCATCCCCAGGAGACTTCTGTCATATCATACGAAACAAATAATAAGACTGGCTTGTGAAAAAGGATAATTCAGAGGGTGAGCCCAAGGATAAGCGTTTCAGTCTGTGGTGCTGTGACCTCAACGCTGCTCCACAGGGAAAGTTCATGAGTACCTTGGATGTGCCGAGGCAGCCAATGGGCCTGTCCGGCCTCCCTGAGAGTCCTAACTTCTCATTGATGCCCAGATGGAAATAAGCCTGTAAGACACAAATTTGTAAATCAGAGTCAGGCAAGAATCCATTATTTTCCTCCTTTGCCCCTTTCCCCCCAACTACTGCCCTGCTAATTTTATTATCTTTCCAGAGAAAAAGAGGCAGGAAACCTTATTCTATGGACTTGTAGGCAAACAAGCTGGCCAATGGTGCCCACTAAGATTCTAGTCACTGGGAGATGTGAGAGCAAGACTGTCATAGATGCACAGCTGACATGGCTCTGATTTATGAAAGAACGTGAGGAGACAAATGCTTTCTGTGTGATTAAAAATCTGGCTATTTAACATTTTAAAAACGAGGGCCACACATCTCCTACCAGATAACCTCCTTCAAGTACTTCTCACCAAAGTGGAAATGTCTTTATTGATTTTTATGATTATATGAATTTTGTGAAAATTTTAAGCCAAATGCTACAACTAAATGGTCCTGTTTACTCCCACAACCCCTTAGGCAACTTTGGTGCATGTTAAAAGGATGGTAATTTATTGTGATCCCTAAGCAATCACCAGAAGCATAAGGTGGGGTTGTAGCTTGTTAAAGTACACAGGTGAACACATGCCCATCACACGTATCAATGTGTAGACATTGACATAAATGGGTTCATAAACTGATCTGTTTGGTGTCCCACTTTTTAAAACTTAAAATTGTGATGTTCCAGCTTTAAGGTGGTAAACTGCCTATGCATTTCATCTACATTTCAATGTTGAAATGACTGAAGAAATGGAAAGACTCGGAAAATGTCTGTAGAAATATTAGAAGGGAAATGTGCCCCAGTGGAGCAGAAACTTCTAGAATTCCTACAAGGTAAAAGCAGGCAGGTTGGAAATGAATTAGGAGTTAATCAGTGCCAGAGCTGAGCTCTTAATCCAACCAAGAAGCCTGCTCCCCTAGTTTAGACCAATTCCCTGGGAAAGTTTGACATGATCCCCTGGGGAAGGGAGCTCCCCATTTTTTGTTACTTCAAAAATAATAAGCACCCTTGGACAGTGCATTATTATTTCTGCAGGACAATGTCCCAGACACGCTGGATCGAAGAGAAGATACATTCTCTGAAACACAATGCCAGCGAGGTCATCCTCCAGAAATAATGGACCAATTTACGTTGGCATTCACAGTGCAGAGGCCATTTCTGCCACTCTCTTGGGTCAAAAAGAGATTTCACTTTAGTTTTAAACTACTGTGTTCAAATGTTTTGTTGCTGACCATTTTCTGACATATTTAATGGCTATTTGTATGTTCTATATATTTTTTCATATTTCCCCTTTTCTACTGGGTATTTGTCATTCTTTTTGATTTGTAAGAGATCTTGGTATATTAAAGATAGTGCCCTTTGCAGAAAATGTCTCCCTCAGTTTGTGGTCATGAAATATGAGAATGACTGCCAGTAGGATAAACATCACTTCGGCATGTGGTATTTCAATCTAAATATTTTCCTAGTGGGAAATTCCACCAGCACCTTTGACATACCAGGCCGTCTATGCATTTTCCGCTATAATGACTTGGCACTGGTCTGGCTGTGTTGCCAGGCAGTAAGGTGCAGGCCGGTCAGCAGCAAGCCTGAGGCCCTGTGTCCCCATGCGGTGTGCAGCTGCTCTCTAAGCTGTCACACTCTGTTGGGGCATCGGTGCTTTGACCACAGATCAACTTAGTAGACTTAATCTTGGTCACTGAGAGACACTCTAATATCCTACCCAACACTGAGGAGTTTGTTTCTGTATTGAACAACTACCAATTAAGAATGGTAGTTTGTAAATAACTAGTGGAAGTCAACGAGTTCCTGTCCCCAAGGAGCAGGAATATTCCTAAACACACACACTCGTGCCCACCGCAGGCAGTGCGTGCAAAAGGCCTCAGGTCACCATTTACCTCAATCCAGACAGGTGTGCACTGCATTAAAGACACACCCAGATGCTATTTTATCAGTTTTGAGACCCAGTAAACCGGGTTAGGAATCACTTCAGATTACAAATAGTAAGGCAACAGAAAAAAGTAGTTATTATCAAAAAATGTTTAGATGAGAAGGTTTCCTTAGCAATGAATGAAAGGGACTAACCAGGTCAAATGTGGAGGTCCATCTGATATAACGGCGAACATTAAGGCAATTTTATCAGGTACTCAGTGAGCTTCAGCAAGGAGCGGAAATCAACAAGCCCCATGAGTGTAATGTACACAGGGTGCAGCTGTTTTTTAGTAATAGTGTCTGGTAAGGTGGGTTTTCCAACTCACTCAGAAGGACTTTTGGATGAGGGGCCCTGTCTTGGAGGCGGAGGTTCACAGCACTTCCTGGCTCGAGGTCTAGTGCCCTGCCCCTACCCCCACAAAGCAGACAGTAAGGAGACAGAACACGTACCTTCACAAGCTCCTGCTGGGCCCAGATCTGAATGGGCTCCACCTGCTGAGGAGTCTGCGTTTGGATTCCATACGTGTTGAGGAAAACCTGAAGGCTAAAGAACACAGGCAAAAAAAGAGAGAGACTTTGAGACACTGCACTGAGCAATGTGGAACTGGTGAGGGGAGGAAGAGTGAGCTGATTAGAGCAGGGTTTAGTTTGTTACGGTAAGCAGTGCGCCATCTGCTCTGCAATCCAGAGGCCCCTGGGTTCATCACAAAACATCAGATGGGAGCTCTGGGGACAGGCCAACGGGGTAGGCACTAATTTGGGGAATCCCCGTAATCTGTTTGTATTAATGTCTCAAAACTGCACCCCAGGCAACACTGGCACTGGCCACAGTCGTTAATATTCACATCAACTACAACAAAATTATCGTTAAACATGAGAAGAGTGCTATCCTGGCACTTAAAGTGACATTAATGGCATCCTTAAAACCCTGTCAAGGGGTCTCTGAACTGAATCTGCTTCCATTCTCAATATTGTGAGCATAAAGCAACCAGCCCCCCACCAAAAGCACACACTGCCCATCTGGTCTTCCTACCGTTGGCTTTCTGCTATGACCGCGACGTGAACCACCAGGTCATTTTCCAGTGGGCCCTGCAACACCAATGAGGGAGGGGAACATTTTAGAAGATCTGGTCATCACTGCTGCTGCAGGAGTCAGGACGATGTTAACCATGCCTACGCAGTTCATTAAAATGATGGACATGAGCTGGCTGTGAGTGGCTGCCTCCCCTTCCTCTCTCCACTACCTACCAATCAGTCCGATGTGGAGACAGTAATGGAACACCAAGGAACAGAAAGCCATAAATCTCACCACCACCAGAGGGGCCAGCCTGTCAGGGCTCTTTTGAATGATGCATAAGAGTAGTTTAGGGACAGAGAGTCACTTTCCATCATTTAACTCAGAAGGGAAGAGGAGGAACTAAAAATAAAAACCCAATTTTTGTATTCTCTGTAAAAAATGATTGTGAGTTAAAATTATTCATTTGACATCTTAACCGCATATAAGGCTATTCCCTTTCTCGTTAGCCAATTTTCCTTTGGCACCTTATATATCAAAATGGCTTTATTCTAATATATAGTTCCCAGTTGACTATATAATTAGCACTGTGCTCATTAAATACAAGCTGTTGAGCTTAATAGTTCTAATCAAAGATAGTGTTGGGCATGTGCTGCTCTTTTTGTGTGAAAAAGATTCACTACAGCACATATTATACATTGAGCCTATACATAATTAAAAGAGAACATTAAGAAGCACCAATAAATTACAGTATTAGGAAGCTCTGAAAATACCGATCAAATATAATATCTTTATAGTAATGAACCCAACATTCCCAATAGCATGCTGTAGAATGTTTGCTTTACCGTCAGTCAATTCCTCTATGGTATTGGAGGTGCAACTAGAATTTACACATGAAGGAAGGCCAGAAACACCAGGATATGTAAACCAGCCGTAAAAACCATGCAGTCAAAGGCATGGTTCCCAGAACCATCATGACAATGCCATTTCGGACAGACTTTCATGTGATTTAAATGAACATATAAGAGAAAATAGGATGTGACCACCCAATAAAAATAAATATACATTAAAATGCTATAAATTCTGTTTTTATTCTATAAAGACCTTAACAGTTAATGTTACTCAAAAGGATGAGAAAAATGAATTATTCAGAAGCCATCAACATCTGTAACAACAAACCAAAACACTGAACCTTGTCTCTTTGGGATGAAATCTAGTATTTTCTTCAAAAGGAGGGGTGACCCTAGAATGGCCGTTATCTACAGTCTACAAAACAATTCAGGATTCTTAAATAAAAAGCGAGTGAATACTATACTAGAGCACAGATAATATTTCAGTAACAATAAGTAAGGCAGCTCACAGCTCCTAATTAGCAAGTTGGTGTCTTCCTTTCCAATCTCAGGCCTGTTTGGGACAACGTTCTCTCTATTTGCATGACAGACTAGTCCTCAGATCTAAACTGCCCACTACCCAAGGTGCACCAGAGTCAGCATCTGGTTCAGGAATACGGATGGGTGAAGAACTCTCTCATTGTAAAAACCCAGCATTTCAGAAACTTCCAATTCACAGACCATCTACCTTAATGAGCTAGACCTTCAACCTCAGCCCAAGTGGGGCCCTCTGACCATTTCTCACCCACAGAAAGAATTCAGTGTGGACAGTCCCACCCCAACAATTCCTTTCACTGACAAAATTGGAATCATCTTTTCTCTATTTTCACCATTTTCTTCAAACCACCCATATAGTTGTCTAAACCCAGGAAATCTCTCTGATCCAATTAATACCTTATATCTTTGAACGGCATTTTTCTTAATACTGTAATATTTTCTGCTTTTAGGTTCACAAAGTACACCCAGGTACACATACACACACATACACACACACACGCACGCACAGCTCGAGCCCGGTGTGCTCCCGTGCGCTCCACTGCACATGCACTTAGGCACTCATTCGTTGGGTCCATGGCAGACCCTGATGTCACAAGGTGAATATCACCCTGCGTCCCTCCTTGAGGAGCTGGGAGTCTACTAGGAGAGATGGACAACAGATAAGGTTTCAAACATGCTTATCGTCATGTGAAAGTATTTCACTGATATCTTTATAGTTCTAAATGGCTACAGGCCCATCTTATAGGATATACCATAATTTACTTCAGGAATGTTTATTTTGATGGCATTGGGTGGTTTCCGACATATAAGTTCTGCAGAGAATATATAATTAACCCTAGCTCAAAGAATTGCTGAGGATTTAGTGAGGGAGCAAACTGCTAAGCACAGTAGCTCAGGACCCAGTTGAAATCCAAAGGCAGGAAAAAGCTGACGTCTAGGTGGAAAGCCATCAGGCAGCCCGAATCTTCTCACTGGGGGAGGGCTTGCCTCTCTGTTCGGGTCAGGCCCACGTGGGTGAAGCCCACACACATGGGGAAGGCAAGCTGACTTGCTCAGTCTACCACTCACCCAGAAACACCCTCTCCCCCATCCAGAGTAACTTCTGACCAGGTACTGGGCACCCCATGCCCCAGTCCAGTTGACACACAAAATTAACTATCACATGGTTGTAGGAATGTTTTATGATTGAGGGGAGCAGAGTGGGGAAGCAAAAGGCTTTCTGTTCTTCCAAAAGTGAACTCCCCATCCACTTGAGGTGAGGTTTTAAGAAAACTGAACTCCAAGTGTTGTCTATAAAATATTTATTTTCTTTTTATTTTATTTTAATGTTTATTGAATTTTTTGGAGTGACATTGGTTAATAAAAGATACAGGTTTCAGGTGACACATTTTCTTATCTGCCTTTGAACAGAACATTATTCTTTGCTTCTTGGCAATTACATTCAAAATTTACCTCTTTTATTAAATAATGTATACAGCGTGTAAGACTCAGTTCTTACTTCTGCAATGTGTGCTGAGCCTTGCTCTACATGGCTTTATTCCCACCATGCCCTATGCTGCGTGAGACAAGGCACTGTGGCCGGCTGGCACAGGTCTGCTACTGAAAAAAGGGCAAGGGAGGAGGCAGGGAAGGGAAGAAAGATGCCAACAAGTGAAAGAGTTGCACCTATCCAAGGCCGGTCTTGTCCTCAAGGGCAGTGTTTGAAACATCCTAGGCCTCCAGAAACTCGTTCATGTTCATCAGCCTTCATCAGCGGTCCTACCAACATGCAGCCACGCAGCACTGTCTCATTACCCTCGTTTCTCAGCAGAACCTCCACAGCTGAGGAGACCAGGCAGGCGCTTGAAACATCTCAATTCCAGGTGGAGACCTCGCACCCAGTGTCTCCTGCAGGGGCCCAGGCCACGGCAGGATGAACCAGGCGCACCCTGGATGGGACACACGGGCACCTTGCTCTGACATTTCCCAGCAAGCCAAAGCAGCAACATGGAGAAAATGAACAGGGAAGCGGTGGAAGGGTAAAGAGAAATACCTGAGGAGTATGGCATCAAGCACGGTTAGAAGGCTAAGCCCAGCTGGAGAGCAAGGTGGCCAGGAGAAAGGGACCCTTGAGGAGCCAGTGTTTCTGTGCATCCGTGGTTATGTGAGCTTCCTAGTTAAGAGGCAGACAGATGAATTTAAAAATTATTCCCAGACTTCAGACACATCGTCTCAAATTCCCGAATGAATAAATCAGACACTTGTTTTTGACAGCAGTCCTTTCTATAACTGCAATTCATCTTGGAGGAGAGTACGATCATCACTTTGTCATGAGGAAATGATTTCCAAAGCCAGTTTCACTCCCTTCCAAGCACTTGCTGTGACTGGATGTCTCTGTATCTTTAACTTAAAGATGAGACAGTGCTAACAGTCTGGCTGATTCCTGGAAACAGCGCTAAAATGACTTGTGTGGGCCCCTGGGAGGAACCCTGACCTGACCTCTATCAGAGCAAAGCATAGGTGCTGAGGAACTCACGAGACACAACAGGAAACACTGGCGACACAAGAGCAAGACGGCGTTTAACTGTGCATGACCACGATGAGTTGGGAATTATCACCGCTATTTAACAGACGAAGCAAGCGAGACTGAGAGATAAATTGTCGAAGGACACACAAGGCATTGGTTTTATAGCCGCCCTGTATGATACAGAGAAACTATACTATGTCACCTTCTAAATAAAAATGTATTACATATATATATGGTATTCTTTCATCTTCAGGAAAATCATGCAAAATTTTATGCATCTGTATTTAAAGAAAACAAAGCACAAAACCCCCATTAATTTGACAAGTGAGAGACTAATGCGTATATATGTGTTTAGCTCAGATCTATATAAATAGGTACATGATTTAGTAAATAAATACTGACTCTCATCCTAAATTCAGAAACTTTGGAGCTTGGAATATAAATTCTATGACTAAAAAGCATTCCTTCCATATTTGCCTTTTCTCCAAAGACTGTCAAAGTAGATCAGTGCGCTTTAATTGGCATATTAAAGGCACTTCCCAGGTTGAAAGCTGGGGGTCACAAGAATGAGAAATGGGAAACCGAGTTACCTCACGGGTGTTTTGACACACACGACCTGCTCTGTCACGATAATTAAGCCATCAATGTAAAATACTGTTTCTAAGAGCTCACCCAAAATATGCACATTTTATTTGCCAGTACAATGGCAAAAATACCTGGAACTCTCCGAGAACCTCAGAGGTGGGGGCTCCCACAGCCAGTCCCCTGGCTTAGAGAGGGCAGCTCCTTGGACTGTGGATCATGAAATAAGAGGGAATTGTAATACGACAGAAGGATAGGTTTCTCTTCAAAGATTCACAGACCTTTAAAAAACATGAATAGATTCAAAATAAGAAAAAAAGGAAGCTGGGAGGTCCCAGGTAAGTTACCTTTATTTATGAATAAATATGATTTTTTTTTCTCAGAGTAAAACACCAGGAATATAGATGGGCTCAGTGAGTTGGACCGAAGCAGGGGCCTGAACTGAGACCTGCGGTGGATTTGTTAAAACGATACTAGATCATAATATTCGTATGTCTTTATTCTGGACCATAAACCTGGCTTTCTTCCTCTTCCTTGTTTACGTTTCAACCGTGACTCTAAGAAGACCCCCTCTTGTAGATGAAATATTTCATTATCTCTCACGCCTGTTATTGGAACTTTTCATTTTAATGAGTTCAGTGGGTTAATTGGAATGATGCTATTATTAAGCTCATTTTTTTAACTTCCAATTTAACTTTCCTCAGTCCTGGACATTTCTGATCAAGGCACTTAATTTTCATTGGCTCTGGTATAAATATTGTTAGGAGGCTCGTTTTCCTTAAAGACTGAAGATAGCATTACCTGAGGAGAGCCTCTGTGCAGCTGTGGCTTACGAGGGCAAGGCTTTCAGAAGCATTTTTAATTCCTTGACTATTTCATCTGCCTTGTTATAACAGTCATAAGGACTTCTGTTCAGTACTCAAATTTGTAGATAAATCTGGCTCTTCGGTCCCATGCAAATACTTTCTTTCTTTGCCAAGCTAATAGTTCAGTTGTGGTTTTTTATCCCATAAGTAGAAATTGTTTCAAATTGGTTAAACTATTTGAGAGCATTAGAATGAAGTGAACCAAATAAAACTGACCCTCATGCAAAATTTCCTTAAATCACCTAAGATTAGTAACCTTTAAAAACTGTGAGCACCTCTGAAATAAGAGTGAACAAGGGACACAGGGAAGAGTCCATGTTGTAGGAGTGCTGCAGATGCCGACTGAATTGGGAGAGGCTGGTGACCTTTTGTAGCAGCAGACAACTTGTGAGCATAGTCCCCATCACTTAATCTCTCTTTCACTCCCAGCAGTCTGGCTCTGGCCACACCACCCACTGCAGTCACTCCGAGGTTACCAGTAAGCTAGATCATGGAAGCCAGCAACAGAAGTGCTAACAAGATTTACAAATCAAACCAGAACAATGATTTTACAGATTAGTGAACTACACAGCAGACATGGCTGGAGACCTTGCCCAGCTGGCACTGCGTGCGAGCCCTGCAGGCTGAAGACCAGCACCCGAATGTCCGCCAGTTCTGTGCTCTTCCTTCAAGACAACAAGGTGGTCAACCTTCTTGAACCATGGTCTCAGAGTCAAACCCCCCCACACATCCACTGGCGCGGTGCTACCTGCTGGCTGGACTCTTGTGTCCTCCCTTCCCCAAGCACCCCTCCTCCCCACCTGAACCCCCACGCCCAGGCAAGGGGGCTTGCCCTGCCCAGACACGGGAGGTAACTAAGCGGAGGCAAGTCCCCCTGGAATAGGGCCAACGGGCCAGGGAAAATGTTCTATCATGCATTAACAGAGGGATTTTGTATTCCTGAGAAAGTCTCAACATTTAAAAGTTTCCCAAATAGCTTCATATCTATAAGCCACTCAGAGTAATCACAAGTTTTGTTGGAAGACCATCAAAAGAATCAGAGAAATAGTGTGACAGAACCTAATGGACCTGGCTGGCTCTCCCTTAATTTCATTAAAACCAGTGTGTGTGTGATGTATATGCATGTTTTTAAAGATAAAAGGAGCATTTACGTTTTGTAAGCATATCTTCTGTAAGTGCTGATCTTGCTCTTCTTAGTAAATAAACGTTAACTGCTTAGAGTCCTAGGCACACACTCAGGTTCAGTCCCTTTCTCCTCGGGCAGTTTCCATAGTCTACAACATTTTCATTTTAATAGTCTTCATTACTTGTATCATTTAATACTTGAGGGTTTGCTCAAGTTAACATTCAATCTTGCTAATTCCACAAACATTTATTTTGTTGACACAACAGTCTGAATCCACAGGAATAAATGTAAAAAAATTATTTCTTCACCCAGCATGTCACAAAGTACCAAGAACAACTCCGTTAGTTAAGCAGTCCCGTCGCAGGGAAGCACAGGGCCTTCTGTGGGACCCACACCCTTCAATAATAGTTCGTCTCATCCACCCGTCCCCACACATATGCATCTTCTCAAACACACCTGACACCTTACACATAACCACTGTGGAGAGGACAATGTTTGCCTGGAAGACATCTTGTTGGACACGTCTGACTCACACTTCCTCATTCACAGGTGGCCCTTTACCACAAGTAATTTTTAAAATTAAAGTGCAAGTAAACAAGTAAATCTTAACTAACTGGAAGAGGGAGAAGTCTTGCCATTCAGAATAAAATTTCTTCCTCAATTAAACTTTAAATGTCTTTGCATGAGTCCAAGTTAAGAAAAAAATGATCTCTTTACCTGGTTGGAAAACCTCATGCTCACGTTACGTTGGTTCTGCGTTGGGACATAGCGCTGGACAGGATCAATGTCGTTAGGACTGATTAATTCATCAGCTGAAAAGAACAGAAAGGACGTTACCCAAAACGCATCTGTACACCATAAACCAACAAAACCTATAGACCTTCATGGAACACTCTACCAACAGGAGTAAATCTTTGTGATTTTGAATCAGACAATACTACAACATCAAAACATTAAGTGACAAAAGAAAAAAATGAGATACATTGGATTTTGTCAAAATTATAACCTTTGTGCCTCAACGGACACTATCAAAAAGTGAAATGATGGCTCACAGAATAGGAGAAAATATTTGCAAGTCATATATCTTGTAAGGGACTTGTATCTTGAATATATAAAGAACTCTTACAACTCAATAATAAAAAGACAACCCAATTTAAAAATGGCCACCATATCTGAATAGCTTATTTCTCCAAAGAAGATCTAGAAATTACCAATAAGCACATGAAAAGATGCTCAACAGTACTAGTCATTTGGGAAATGCTTATCAAAACCACAATGAGATACCACTTCACACCTGTTCGGATGGCTATGATAAAATAATAGACAAGAACAGGAGTTGGAAAGGATGTAGAGAAACCACAGTCCTCATACATTGCTGGTGAGAATGCAGAATGACACAGCCACTTTGGAAAATAGCTTGGAATTGCTCAAAATGTTAAACACAGAGTTACTATAGACACAGCAATTTCAGCCCTAGGTATATACCCAAGAGAAATGAAAACCTATGTCAAGCAGTAAATTGTACATGAAAGTTAATAGCAGCATTATTCATAACAGCAAAAAAGGGGAAACAACCCAAGTGTCCATCATCAGATGAATGGGTAAATCAACTGTGGTCTGTACACACAATGGAAAGTTATTCTGCCATAAAAAGGAATGAAGCACTGATGGACCTCAAAAACAAACTAAATGAAAAGGGCCAGTCACAGAAGGCCACACAATGCATGATGTGAGGGAGATGAAATATCATTACAGGAAAATCTATAGAAACAAAATAGATTAATGATTGTCCAGTGCTCAGGGGAAGAGTGAAGTGATTAGGGGGTGAAGGGTAGTGACCACAAAGGGTATGAGGTTTTGGGGGGTGATAAAAATATTCTAGAATTGATGGTGGTGATGGCTGCACAACTCTCTGAATATACTAAAAACCACTGAATTGTAAATTTTAGGTAAAATGTATGGTATGTACATTATACTTCAAAGAAGCTGTTCTAAAAATAATGTCCTTGCATTTGCAAGGAAGGAAACCAGTTCATAAAGGGAAACAAAGTGTTTCCTGATGCTAAGTTCTGAGAGATCTCTAAGGTGGGAAGGTTTTTCTGGGGCACTGGCCAGCACCAGGGCAGTGACTTCAACGACTGTTGTACTTCAGACAGCAGAGCCCTTTCCATGAGGTGATTCCTTGTGGCAACTTAGGATCAAATCCAAGGATGTAACAAGGAAGGCAATTCAGTGTCTGGGAGGATAGGGTGGGACGAAGGCACTAGGCCAGTGGTTCTCTGCTGTCTTCTGCTCTCACACACCTCAGAGGCCCATCAGCACCCGAGGCTGCTGGGATAATCTCTAATGTAACCTGCATTGCCTTGCTCCAGTACAAGTTGGCAGAATCTATGCAAACGTATAAAGAGCAATTGCATATCTGTAAAGTTATCTCAGTTTATGCTCAGACATGGGAAAGGTAACTGAATAATATAAAAAATAAATAAATAAAGACCCCCACTTCTCCTGAGAGTCAGCACACTTCATTTCTACTGCAGGTAAGCTATGAAACTGTGCTTGTTTCACACCTGATCTTCAGTTCATACTAATCATGTGAAAATGGCACCATGCTTTTTGTATACATTCACCTGTGTTTAATATTTACTTTAAAAAAAGAATTACACCTCGTTTCCTTAGCTTTTTAGGTACCACTTTTAGGCAGTGAACAATTCTGGAAAACAGGGGTGGGGTATGCCACAAAAATGCTTGTAAATTTTTTTGCAGCTTGGGGAGGGCTCTCATGACACCTCTTTTCCGGGGTAACTTCAAGGCACATGCGCAATGTTGTCCATTAGACAGAATCACCCCCGGTGTTTCTACAAACTCTTGGGAGATGTCTTTAATAGTAAAAGTGACAGTAATAACAGAGTAACAAGGGAAAGGAAGCAGCCACAGAGAATGCCACTGCCACCGCTGCCTCTGCGACAGCAGCCACAGCAATGTGTACTAATTCACTAATCCTCAAGACACCTCGTCTTTTCACAGGTGAGGAAACGGAGGCACTGCGTGGTTAAGAGACTTGCACACATGCTGGTAAGTGACAGAGCTCAGCTTCAGAACAGGCAGGCTCTCCCAGAGTCCGGCGGGCTCTTAACCACACACTGACCTGGCCCTTTAAGAACAATGACATTCTATACAACAGGGCAGAGAAGACACAAGGGGGAGACAATAAACAAACAACTTAGACTAATAGGTTATCGTTTCCTGGACCAGGGAGCATGTTACAGAACATTCTTTTTTCACTCTGAAAAAAATATTCCTCTGCAAAATTTAAACTGAACCAATATAGGCCTCATTATAGCAAATATCGATCTATCGTTTCAATTCACTAATGTCAGTTTAGCTCATCATGCAGCGTTGTGATATTCTAAATAGCAGCAATGATTTCCCTATCTCATTTGTCTGATCACTGGGATGTGGAAAGATTTCCACGACCAACAGCATTTTACATAATTAATGTTTCACTGTCAGGTCACAGAAATGAAATTCTATCTTTATTATTTTGTTAATTATAAATGACAACAGATAAATTAAGACATCTTATATCCTTAGAAGCATAAATGCTAATCTATTAAAATTGACAAGAATAAGAGTTAACCCAGTCTTTTGAAAAAGCTTATTTCTGCAGGTTTTTTCATTTCTTCGTGCTGCAGCTGTAGATTTGGCTTGATGTGCTCACGTGTAACCCTCCGGGCTGTCTGCTTCTGACGCAGGGCTATTCCCCACCTGGCATATAGGAGGTCCTCAAAAGACTTAATAAACAAAATAATAAGCTGGTGGGTTAACAGATTTGGAAACATTAATTGCTATAATCATTGCTTTCATTTCCAAAATGGTAAAAGTGACTAATACCTTAAAAGGTCCAGTTAATAGATTTTTCTCACTGCATTGATTTTATCATTCTGGAAGCAAACCCAAGCTCCTGGCTGTGCCAGTTCAGTTCCGTGCACTGGCTATGGGGGGAAGAGGGACAAGAACTTACACCCAATCAGCCACAGAATCCAAAGAGGGCTTTCTGCATTTCCCCACACAGACCACCCCTCACAGAGTGAAGCATGTCTATAAAAACAACAGCTACTTTTAAATCCAGATTTAAATTACACATTAGGTCATTAATACTTGCATTTTTTATGCACAGGAAGGTTTATAAAATATACCCTGAGTTTAGCTCAAACAATAATTGTTGAGGGTAAAAAGAACATATTAAGAAGGATTTTTGTTTCTTTAAGAAATGGCAATTTAAAAAACATTTAACAGAGCAAGTAAATTTTTTTTTATCATGACAGCAAAATTACATAGGACCCACTGAAATGGCTCAGCAAATACTTCACAGGGTAAGGAGATATGCTTCTAAGCCAATTGATTCTCAGCTGCAGTGGCAGATGTTAGTAACACGTGTATTAAGAAATGAGCTACGGAGGCCACAGGGGTATAAAGTGCTGCCAAGTGGGCACTAGACTTATCGGAGGATCACTTCATAATTTATATAAATGTCTAACTGCTATGCTGTACACCTGAAACTAACATGAAATAATATTGAATGTCAAATGTTACTGAAAAATTTTTAAATAAAAAAGAAATGCGCTTTGGGAGAAAAACAAAAGGTAGATCCCCAACCTCATACATCATACCCCCAAATTTCAAATTTACATATATTTATATGTTTTTAACTCAGCTGATTAACAGGGATGAACTTCTAAGATTAAATGTTAAATTTCATGGTAAAAATAAAATAGAAAATGATAGCTCTTAATATTTAAGATTTTAAATTTTATTCATCAAAAACCAGCACAAGCAAAGTTTAAAGGTAAACCAGGAAAACACCAGAGAGGTTTAGTACACCTAATACATAAAATATCCTTGCAGACTGAAAAGGAAAACCATAAAACCAAGGTTAACAGGCAAAGCAAATTAACTAGACACTTTACAGAGGACAGAGAAATGACTAAGAAATACGTTTTCTAATAATCAGCATGTAAATGAAAATGGGATACAAAGTGGTATCTTACTAAGTTAGCAAAATGTTTATGTTTAATGAGCATATTTAATGCCATAAAGGTTCCAGGTGACACAGTCACCCTGCAGATTCCTAAATCAATAAAGTCCCTGTCAGTCTCGGGATGTGACCTCGGGGGGTTGCTAAGTTCGTCTGAGCCTCAGTCTTGACCTGTAGTAGTCATTTCACAGAGGAGTCAGGAGGATTGCTCAGGATGAGACTTATAGAGGGCAGAACACAGACTGTGGTGCACTTTATGGCAGGTGTTATTCTCTGAGATTCTAGGACCCACCGCTTTCATATTCAGCTTGGCTAACATATTTGAGGGTGGGATCATACATTTTTATACAAGTTTGCTAGCCTTAGTATCAATTCAACTAAAAATTTTAGTTTTAAGAAAGTCAGTCATTTATATAGTTAGGGAAAGGGAGAAGTCTTCCAGGATGAGGCACTGTATTACATGTGCTCCCATGGTGTCTGCAGGGCCTGCTGCACAGGGTCCCACTTCAGGTCGCTGGCATCACAGGGACACTATGGAAAGGTAAAAGTGCTCAGAAATTTATGTCTTTCTGCTTGAAGTTTTCTGAAGTCTACTGGCTGGGAAATCTCTTAGCAACCACAATGTAGACATCAGGTCATTTTACCTTTAACTGGTCAGCAGCAAAGTGGGTAAGAAACCAGCTGCATTTGAAGTCAACAGGCCAAGAAGACCTCTGCTTCTTACATCCTCATGCACGGGAAGGGCATGTGGTCACTGCTTTCTACAGACTGGTCACCCTCATACATGGCCAGTTTCTAAACCTCCATATTTAACAATTGAAGGTATAGTGAATGATCATTTTATTCTAAAACAAGCCAATGTTGTATCTTAAAATATGCCTTATCTGGTTTAAAATAAACATGTCTAAAATTTATTTACCTATGTTAATATAGCAAACACTTTTTCGCAAAGCCTATGTTTTCTAAAGAAAAAAACTGCTATAATAATGAACTATCTTCTGAGAACAGAGTGGGTAGGTGAGGCCTTGGGCCAGGAAACAGCATATTGAGTCTTTTTGCTCTGATGGTTTTCGTTGAGGAATTACTCACTAAGGCACACATAGAGCATGATATTCTTACTAGGTTCCACTGGATACAAGCTCGCCTGAATTAGTGAAAGTCATAGACTATTACAGAATATTGTAAAAGGTTTACTGTTCTATTATTTTCATGTAACTCCAACTAACTGCCCACAAAATACTATCAAACAAATACCCAACTGAGGCTCCTTTAATGCATAAATGAGACTTTGTTCATAAATGTGGGGGGTGTCTGGAATCTTAGTAACATCCAGAGAAGCTTGGTGTCTCTTAGGGAAAGTGCACAATAGTTCAGACCAACTAAAGGATTCAATCTTGTGAGACCTCATTAAGCAAGTGGCACGCTCCTGGGTCAGAGGCTCGTGCATGGGGGGCCCCCTTCCTTTCATGAAGTGAGACCTATGTGGCCTCATAGTTTACAACACACCTTCGGCATGTTCTCTGCTGCCTCTTTAGAAGCTCAGCAGAGAAAAGAGAAATGGACTCTTCCTTGAAGTCTTTTTGATCATGAAACAGAGATGAAAGCATGACCTGGACTATTTCTGTTTACTCCGGTCTTAACAAAATGCTATTTATATTCAAAGTCTGTCTACAATCAGTACACTGATTTCGGCATGAGGAAGGCCCAATGCTATTTTACTGACTGAAACTGTTTTCAATTTTTTTTTTTAAGTTCAATTTGCTTATATAGAGCATGGTCAATTCTGCATTCCCAATTCATTAGCCCTCTGTTCCACAAAGAGGCTGTGCTCAAACAGCACTCTTTCCAGCCGTGTCACCCTCACACTGGATACGCAGCAAAAGCAAGAGGGAGGTTTAGGTCTCACATCCCTCTCCAGGGACCACCTTTTAGCCTCAGACTCACAGAAGAATTTCATCAGGCTCATTTGTAATTTCCAAGCTTAGTGGAAGTTTATGAGTCTGAAGTTAAAATTCTTGTCCTTACATAAGTTAACAACTCCTCTACTGAAATATATCTGTATTGGCTGTAAGTATCAATAAGGCTTCTTTGTATTCGTGCTAGAGAGAGAAAAAAACATTCTAACCACACATAACTTTACCACATGGGCTTGATGCTAAGAAAACTAAATCAAGGATGTATTTTTTCTTTTGGAAAATATAAAAGCAAAATCTGTATAAATAATATGAGCTCCTTTTCAAAAGCTGCCCATTTAATGGCAGAATATTTTTCTACATCTTCTTAAATTACCATTGACTTTATATGGAGACCCAGAAATACATTAAGAAACAAGAAAATTGAAAACAGTATTAACTTAATTCTCTCTTCTTTGGTTAGCTTATATTTGCTGTTATATATTATTTGTGTGATGCTTGGGACATTCTTTCTATCTCCCCTAAAGGAGAGATACTGGAATATTCTCCCTAATGGGGAGATACTGAAATATTCTCCCTAATGAACAGATACTGAAATATTCTCACTAATGGACAGATACTGAAATATTCTCACTTATGGACAGACACTGGAATATTCACCCGTAATGGGGAGATACTGAAATAGTGTCCCTAATCGGGAGACACTGGAATATTCTCCTTAATGGACAGACACTGGAATATTCTCCCTAATGGACAGACACTGGAATATTCTCCCTAATGGGGAGATACAGGAATATTCTCGCTAATGGACAGACACTGGAATATTCTCCCTAATGGGGAGATACAGGAATATTCTCCCTAATGGACAGACACTGGAATATTCTCCCTAATGGGGAGATACAGGAATATTCTCGCTAATGGACAGACACTGGAATATTCTCCCTAATGGGGAGATACAGGAATATTCTCCCTAATGGACAGACACTGGAATATTCTCCCTAATGGACAGACACTGGAATATTCTCCCTAATGAAATGCACAAAAAGAAAGGGAAGATGATTCTCCCAGCAGCACAAGTAAGCCTGGCATTTCTGCAGTGATACCAGGAACAGCAGTAACAATTCAGTGCTTCAGCCAGGGGCTTTCAGGGCAGGGGCAGCAGGAGGGTCAGCCCACTTAGTAAGCCTCCAGCCAGGACGGAATTCTACTCGACCAGGATAACTTTTTTGATGCAAATGCGAGTAACATTTGAAATTCTAGCAAGGAATGTGCAGGAAGACGCATAAGGCTGCTTTGTATTCATTAAATTAGCCTCCATTTCCACGTGCCCAGAGCAGTTCTTTTCAGCCGGAGTTTCTGAAGTAGCTGAACAACAGCTCTCAAGGAATTATGGATAATGGTCCCATGAAGCACCTGGCTACCTGAGTGGTTGCATATGTGTCGTCACGGGGAGAAGAGGGCGCTGAGATAACCAGTTCCTTTTGGCAAGTGGTTTGCTAAGGCTATGACCAAAGATGACCATTACATTAAACTGGAGTGTAGTATATGATATGACAGTAAATCAAAGCTCTGATAACCTCTTCTAGAAACCCATCCAAAAAGCTGAAGGCAGCCCCTAAATGATCGTAGTGGAACCCACACTTATTTGACTGTCTTCCCAGAAACTGTCCATAATCATCCAATGAAACAGACACATTTTTATACCTTTACATACGAAGAAACTCCCCGAAGACCTCTCACCAGCATGAACAGTGCCAAAATCCAAGAAAATGTCAGCAAAGGCATACTTACTTTTGAAGGCTTGATAACAAGGGGGGAAAATGTTCCCAAACTTCTCCACTTACTCAGAAGTTTTGCGATGATATAAAGGGCTTGTCCCCAAAGAAACAGCTTTCCATCACGGCCACAGTTGCTAGGAAACCGCTTTTGACTACCAGGGTTTCTTTTTTCATGTTCTACAAAATCAGCTGGCACAAAATAGTACTTTGGTATGACAGGGTAACCTATGGAGTGTAAAAGTAAATATTGAAAATACAGCCAATCAGTGTCCTCCCCAAAGTCTCCCTTCAAGAAACGGCTATGAATGGAAAGCAGAGAGAGACAAGAGGTATATAGGAAGTAAGGGGTTTGACGGGCTATAGGAAACGGGGTATGGGGGCTCCTTTCAGAATCTGCCGGTAAAAACGTGGCAGAAGCCTGACTCCAGAACCCTAACTAGATGGCGTAAGTTATGCTCCAGCTAGCAATGCCCACATAATCTTTTTTAACAATGCTGCATGCTCGCACCTTTAATTGAACCAACAAACACTGTAGGCAAATATTTAGAGACACAGAAGAAGCTGTATTTAGAAGGATTAGCCTGGGGAAGCTTTACAAATGGGATACTGGGTGATCTTAAAAGAAGACTTACAACCCTGAGCCCCTGCTTACAGCAAAGAAATCCCCATTTTCAACATTAAACCCAATGTCTACCATTCAATACCTTTGAAGATAAAAAATCCATCTTCCCCTGTGACCAACCCGTTTTAAAATGTTCCTTAGTAGAAACAAAAGGTTATTATTTAAAGACTAGACTCTGTGCATGATATAAAGGGGAGACAACATTCTGAGAGTTTTGCTATCAGCCCACAGGAAACTTAAGGTTCCTGATAAAATCACACAGTTTCCCTAAATTCCTTCTTCATGTATCAACCAATAGTGATATTTGTGTCTAAAACCAACAAAAATATCTGAATACACAGAGAACATTTCGGACCCCACTCTGGTCGTGATGAAGCCTATAGGGTGGTTCTCGTAGCCACCACAACACACCACGAGTCACAACAGACCACTATTGATCCGACTCACGGGTTTCAGATATGACAGCATCACAACATCATTATGTTATTTCTCATAGTGGACAATGATTCTTTGGAGCATAAAGACATAATATAAATTTGGAATCCAATGTTTATCCATAAACATTTCACTACTTTAATGTTATGAGTATTTTAGAGGGTGAGCACATAGTGGGAAATGCTGACTCTAGGGCACTTGGGAAAACCCTACAGGAACACCACAAACTTCATGTGAGACGGGGGGGCTCTGGGCTGTCACTGCCTGTTTGTGCAGCATGTCTACCAGACCATCTGTTTTTTACCAACATCTAACAATTTTTAACTTCCAGATAAATATGTTTTCAAAGCTGTTCATTCAGGATATTATATATAGTTTTATCTTGCAAATGGTTTCAAACACCAAAGATATCTGGAACTTCTCCTTTGAAATTCCTTCAAGAATTAGTTTTGTACTCACACACAAAAATCAGTTATGTTCTTTTATGGGGTCTACTGGGGTTTAACTGAAACCAACACACTACTCATAAGAATGGGCCTCTTAACCATTTCTAAAATACTGAACCCATCCTCAGCGGATGGGTTTTAGCACCACACAGAACACTCCTGGCAAATGGCATCACCTCAGGCTAGGGCAGAGCCTCCAGGTGGCGCTCTGGAGGGGCAGCACTCACCTGAATGCGGCATTTCTGTCAGTCACTTCATATTACTGTCACAACACATACAGTACAGGAGCTACAGCAGGTAAAAGATGAAGAACCGCTGCCCACCTGGTGAACCACTTTGCAATCACTCTAGCTACAACCACCTAAACCCATCCCCATCCTTCTCTTGCCAAATGAACTTTCATAAAAACACATTTATTACAACAAATTCATAGATTATGCTTTCTAATTCACTCAAGGCCCCACTCATTTTTTCAATTTTATGAGAATTTCTCTGTTTAAAAGGAAACATTTATACATTTCGATGGGACATTAAGGCAATATTTCAGAAGAATTTCATGAACAAACAATCCAACTCTACCTTCTGTGGTCTGATGAAGTACTGGAGTCAGGAGATCCTGGTATTCCTTTACTTGTTTAGAATTGCCCCTGAAAACTCCTAAAACATAAAACACAAATTCCAGTAAGCCCCACAGAAATCTCACCTTATAAAAACCTACTGGCCCAGTAATAACTATTTTGGTAATTTTCTATGTAAATGATAAAAATAAAACTGAAAAAGGTAATGAAAATGTGTGTGATATATTTCCAGGAAATCCATTTTAGAAGGTCATGTTAGCATTTAGAATTGAAAACTGAATTTTAATTGGAATTTCTTTGTTCTTCAGTGTAAATGTTACAGGTATTCACGGTGTCACAGATTATAGTATTCATGGTTTCTACTCATAAAAAATTCTTCTTTGTAAATATGAAAATATAGTTGTATCATTTTAAAAATAATTCCAAGTAGTTATTCTTTGAATTATTTAATATTTGGTCGGAAAGCAGAAGAGCATGTGACATGCCGAGCGGTAAAGGGCACTGAGGCACAGTCTGTTCTGCAGCAGAAAGAGGTTGTAGTTCATTCTGGCTCCTCTTCAAACACATCCTGTAGCTGAGCTTCAGGAGAAAAGCTCACTTACCATCAATTATCATGTACAGGAAAAATATGGGAAATTCACATTCAATGCCATCAAAGAGCTAAAACAGAAAAAAAAATTTAAATTCACAAACAGCGAATTAGAACAATCACATTAGTAAGAACAACATATTAAGTAGAACAACCATAGTTAGGATACAAAATGATTTATAGTAATAACAAAATGGGACTGATTTTATAAGTAGTTTCATTGTTTTGTTTTAATTTTCTGGACTCACTATTCAAGAGCTCATTTGTTTAATCCACCACACAGTCTTCGTTCATTTGATAAACATTTCCTAAGTACCCGGCATCAACTAGGAGGGCTGCAAAGACCAGGTGGTACACCTACCCTCGAGGGCTCCCCGCCTACCGGGGAGGCGGGCGAGGAAGGAGACAGTTTGGCGCCTTCTGAAATGTCTGTCCCTGGTATGTTAGAACCCAGGGAACAAAACACCCAGGGTCAGAGAGGGTTTATGAGAAATGAGAGGTTTCTCCAGGGAGTGAGCTAAGGGAGCTTCACAACAGCACAAATCACAGAGGCAAGGGAGCACCGGGCTTATAAAAGAAACCAACAGCCAAGCAGTGTTTCTAGAACAAGCGAGGAAGAAACAGTGAACACTGAAACCCAGCCAGTGGGCCAGGGAGGGGCTGGGGAGTCATGCTGAGAGGCTGAGACTTTGATCTGGAACCGCTGGTGAGCACTGAGCAGGATCCGATTTGCTCCTTGCTGGTACCTGCTAGATGGACAGCTGGAAGGGTGGAGGAGAGGGTTAGGGCAAGAAGTAAGGGCGCCAGCTGGACGGCTGCGAGGAACAGTCCAAAGCGCAGGAGGACACCGACGGTGAGGTCACAACCGCAGTACTCCTGGCATTTTGGGCCAAGTGATCCTTTGTTGTAGGGTCTGTCCTGCACACTGTAGGGAGATTAGTAGAAACCCTGGCCTAGAGATCTACCTAGAGATTCACGAGACTTACCTACCTTCAGTGAGTCAAAGTGACGCCACACTTACACCTTCCACTCTACCCAGTCAAGCTACTCTTCAGCGATGTGGATGACGCTTACCTTTTTGGGGGGCATTATAGTTTCCTGGGCAGCTTATAAACAGCTAGCATAAATCTAGATAAAGTAGTATGCATGTGTATCTGAAATATAAAATGTTTTAGAACTCAATATTTAGGGGACTATACTGCAAAGGGAAGTGTGTAAGTGAAACAGAAGAGTGTTTGCTTAATGAGTGAAAGCTGGACCACAAATGGCATTTCCTATTACATAAGACAAGTGGTCGGAACAGGCAGGCAAAGGACTAACAGTGCAGCAGACACACTGCTCACCCAGTGAATCGCAGGCCCGGTATGAGCACACTGTCATGAGAGCTAACACTTACCAAGCGCTTACTGTGTGCCGAGCACCATTCTAAGTACTTCATATATATTAACCCATTTAATACCCGTAAGAACCTCAATAATAGGACCAAATAATACGAAATATGAAGACATTAATTTACTTGCCCACAGCTAGTAAGTGGCAGAGCCAGAATTCAAAACCAAGGTGTCAGCCCTCAGTCGGCACTTCTGACCACTTTGTTACGCTACCTGATGTGAGGTATTTTTTGATACCTTAATTTCAGCTGGTTTGTAGTAGCGTCTGTTGGGATCTTCCAGTGATGTTCTATACCCGTCTCTCAAGAAACGCTTAAATCCATATTTTCCTTTTAATTTTCTAACCACTTTGTCAAGGGTCTGGCTAAACAGAGCTTCATCATCCAGGGCAAATGCAGGGTAGCTGATGCAGGGGAGCAGGGCAGCATCTGTGTTCTGGGGTGACAAGAAGAAGAGGGGACTGAAAGAGCCCACAGCGGCATGATCAACAGAACAGCCGAGGAGAACCAGGGAGAAGTCAGTCAGGGCCCACCTGCCAGGGAGTGGCACTGTCCTGAGGGACAGAGACATTTATGTGGCCTGGTGCAGTGGGCACCACAGAGGAGATGAAACTTTACCCATTAATGAGTATTTTCAAGGCTCAAAACTGAACTCACACTTGAAGATCTTAATTAAGGCAGTATGTAACACCAATAATTAGTCATTTCAACTTAGTTTATCGTAACAATTTGTTTATAATACTGAAAAACACAAAACATTCTAAATGTCCAACATTTAGGTAAATTAGCAGCCATTAAAATTCATACTTAGAAACGTTTATTGATATGCAAACACTTCTGTTCATAGAACCAGGTTTTCAAGCATTATGAAGAACATTCTTCCAGTTGTGTAAAGTAAAAATATTTTATATGCATACAAACTATGCGGAAACATATAAACACAAATGTGTCACCTAAGATGAAAACCAAGTGGAGCAATAATGAGATTATTACTATTTGCATATTTGTGGGTTTTACTTTTTAAAAAATTAAAAAATATATATATATATCTTTATTGATTTCAGGGAGAGGAAGAGAGAGGGAGAGGGAGAGATAGAAACATCAGTGATGAGAGAGAGTCATTGATCGGCTGCCTCCTGTGCACCCCCATTGGGAATCAAGCCCGAAACCCGGGGAATGTGCACCAGGAATCGAACCGCGATCTCCTGGATCCTAGGTCAATGCTCAACCACTGAGCCACACTGGCCAGGCGGTTTTACTTTCTTTCATCAAGATCTTGCATTACTTCTATACAATAGTTATTTTTAAATAATTAAATTATTCCATTTGGGGTACTTTCTAAAAATAGAGTGACAAATAACCCCTAGAAAAATCTGCAAAAATCTACTATGGGCATATAAAAGTTATCAAAGAGAAAAATCATAAATGATAGCTCATATTAATTTATCATAAAGATATCTCACATGAGATCTTGATTCTCTGGGTAACAGTGAGCACAGAGTTTGCCTGTTGCGATTATGAGCATCGAGATCCACAAATATGACTGACCAAGAGCAGCCCTGGAACGACAAAGAGAAAAAGGACTTGGAAAAAGCTGGGCATTTTGACTAAAGAAATTTCACACAAAAAACTAACACTAAAGATTTTAACTTTCCCTTTAATACATTCAGTATTTCTCAAGTATTTTGCAATAAACATATTCATTTATAATCATAAAAAATGTTATTTTTCTATTTTCCCCATTTCTCCTTAGTTTTCTTATAAATCAAAATGTGTTGATTATAAGATAATTAATCAATTAAAGATATTTGGTTTAATAAAAATACAAATTCTAGTTTAGCTAACATTTTTGACAAGGCATAATGCAAAAACTAACTCAGATTCATAAAACCTCAATGTACAGTCCTAATAAAGAATGTTGATTATATGATAAAACTAGACAAATTCAGATACAATCTAGAATTACGGATATAAATACAACTTGATTAAAATATGAAGACAGCACACTCTCAAGTAATAACAATGCAAATAACGTGAGCTAGTATTCACTGTGTCAGGCTCTGGGCTTTATGCTTCATATTATTGTTCTCATTTTACTGAAAAAGGGTGCTAAATCTTAGTTTAATACAGCAAGAGTTCAAAATGAAGTCTCTAAGTTATATAATTTCCCCCAAAAAAATATCTTTCAAGTAAGAACCAAAAAACTGAACAAAAAAAAAACAACACAACTGTAACACAAAATGTTAATTGGTTGCTAACCAAGTTTAACAGAGTTTAAAAATGTACTTTTTAGCCATTAGTGCTTTCTGTGTTCAAGAGCAGGGCTGTAAGTAAACATGGCTTTGTTCTTTTACTGAGGAGCTAAATATTTTGAAAATCAAAGAGAACAAAATTAGAAAACAAAGACTGCTTCCATTACAAGAGAATGCTCAGAAAACCACACAAGGAAAGGAAGACGAGAGCTATCATGAAAATCATGTTGGTTCAATACAATCTTCTAAATCTCATCCCAGCTCTCACCTTGAAACTAAAATGCCTCAAATCGATCAATCGCTTAGACTGAAATTCAAAGCCTAGTAGTCACAGGCCCAAGGTCTGCATATCAGACTCAATGTCCGTATTTTCCCCCTTAACCCATGTCCACGCATGAGTAGTAGCTCATAGAGTAGAATGACTTCTCATTCATAACACCATTTCTTAAATCTCTTTTAACTCCGACAAATAAGTCAATGAACAAGGAGTGAGAGAGGCCGTCTGTCTCTCAACAACCAGATTAACGCCTGACTGACCCTTCCTACTTCTCTCTGCTCACAAAACCAAGCTGAGCAAGCTTCGTGTGTTAGCTGCCACTGCAGAGAAATGTGTTCTCTGCTCTCAGGAAAACAAACGAGACAGAACTTGACCTGTGTTCTCAAGGAGCTGACCCAGGTGATAGTCCTGAACCGTATGAGTATTAAACAACACAAAAAGGCCGCCTGTGACAACACACGACTGTGGACCAAGCGAGGGGCTCCAGTGAAAGAACAGTGATGGTAACAGACCTCTGAAAACAGGAGGAAAATAAAATAGGGAACCTGGGCCAAGCCACAGAAAAGGTGAGGACCACAGCTAGGGTCTGAATCTGGGGAGCAAGAAGGGGGGTTAGGAAAAAACAGCACAGAAATGAGTGGGTAGGAGATGTTAGGAGCCTGCTAATAGACAAAATAATAGGACTTACCCTTCAGTCTCAGGCTGATAATAAAGTTAATTGCATAACACATCAGTGTGCCTTGAGTTAAAATTTAAAGACACAATCTAAGTAGGATAATTGATAAATAATGAAGTGAAATGGCAAATTTGGCAATTCTTGCCATTATTCCATTAATATAAACAGCCAACTTCTATTTTCTGGCCAAAAATAAATGGCTTATTTGTTCAGGTCTCTTCCTAAGTCACCCTCTAAGACATATGTGCAAGAGAAAAATAATCTCATACTATCACCATATTTTAACACTGAAGCAAAGGCCAGTTAACTATTGTTTGCTGTCCTCTTAAAAAACAGACCATGCTGGCCCTGGCCGGTGTGTTTCTGTTGGCGGGGCATAGTCCCGTGCTCCAAAAGGTTGCCAGTTCCATTCCTGGTCAGAGCGCATGCTCAGGTTGCAGGCTCGGTCCCCGGTAGGGGGCGTGAAAGAGGCAGCCAATCGATGTTTCAGTCTCACATCGATGTTTCTTGCTCTCTCTCCCTCTCCCTTCCTCTCCCTCTAAAACCAATAAAAAATCTTTTTTAAAAAAAGACCATGCTTTAGGCATATGGCCCAGATTTACTTGAGGATAAAAATCACCCAAGGCCATAGGCAGCTATTTGTATTCAGAAGCAAATTCTTAAAAACATCATCAAGAAGAATGTACATATGGAATTAATTATCACCTACTTTAAATGGTTAGACACATTCATTTTAGGCCTGCAAATTTCAAAGGGAAGTCATATGTCTGCATTGCTTTGAACACTTTGCAAAACATGAGCAATCTCTCTAGGCATCACCTTTCAGATTTGGGCCTCAGCTGTGTCAGCATCGTGACTTCTCCAGTTAAAGACAGGAATATAAAAGAATGTCTTATAAGTACATGCCATCAGCACATCTGAAGAATGTTGGGTATTTTATTTCATCTTCCACTTCCTGGAATCATCACGATGCTGCCATAACACCCTGACTCCATCTGAAGAGCACACTTTAAGACCAACAGCTCCAACTTCACTCCCAAGCTGAGTTTCCAGGCTTATGCTCTAGTAAATACACACCACATCCCCATGACCTATTTATTTTATAACTGGATGTTTGTACCTTTGACCCTCTTCACCCATTTTGCTTACCCCCCACCCCCACCTCTGGCAATGGCCAGCCAATCTGTTCTCTGTATCTACCACCTTGGTGCTTTTGGGTTTTGTTTGGTTTTATTTACTTTCCACACATCAGTGAGATCATACAGTACTTGTCTTTTTTCTCTTACTTCATTTACCATAACCCCCTCAAAGTATATCCATGTTGTTGTAGTTGTCAAGATGTTATTCTTTTTTTATGACTGAATAATATTCATGTGTGTGCACGTGTGTGCACGTGTGTGCATGCATGTGTGTGGGTGTATGCGCGCACGCGTGTGTACACACACCGCATTTTCCTTACCCATTCATCCATCAGTGGACACTTAGGTGGCTCTCATCTTTCTTGGCTGTTGTAAGGAAGGCTATAATGCCATTATTTATTCCATATTACCCTCCTACTCCTTCCTTCCTTCCTACCTACCCTTCTATTTCTCTATCTTACACACACACACATATTTAAATGATGTATCAACAGTGAGGAAGGGGTGAAAAGGAAATAAAAATATTAAAAGATACACGTGGAATCCATGAGTACTAGACTCTTCAGGAAGAGAGAAATGTTGATATAAGCCAAGGGGTCTGTGCCAGAGGCACCAAGAATCTCTAGGGGGGCATAATATTAACACTCAAGATTTCCCATAGGCTCTCACCCCCACATCTCCATGAGAGAGGAAGTGTGGGCAGTGGGTGATTTAGGGTTGCCAAGTGAGCACCCAGAATGGGGTGCTGCTCCCCTTTCCCCAGTCCTTCCTTGTCAGTGTCATTCTTCACCCTTCCCATCCTGGACGTGAGCAGAGTCCATCCTCCAGGGGAAGTGGGAGTGAGAAGACGAGAGTTGTGTCCTTAAGGAGGGGAAGACAGCTGTGCTACCACTAGAAACTGTCTTACACTCAACACTTAGGTACATAGTGTTATAACTGCATGACAGGAACTGTCACATTTTGCATGTCTGTATAACTTCCTCAAATGCATCTGTGCTGACTTAGCATTTAAGAGCTTAGGGTTCATTATAATATCAGCTGGTAGTCCCCTTTGCCCTTCCATATTAGAAATCTTTACAAAAATTGCCAAAGAAAATTAGCCTACTTCTTGATCCAGAGAAGGACCCTGTATTTTTACCCTTCCATCATCAGCTCAATCCATGGTTACTTGATTACATGCAGAAACTGGTTAAAGATCTTATGAAAATTTAAAGCGACCCTCAGGGTTTCCCTTTCATTCCAAAGAAAATGAGATTTAGACATATTCACAGCCAGGTGAGGGTTAAGCTAGGATCAAAACTGGCAATTATTTGGCTATACATGTTACTCAAATTCCCCTCCACAGAGCTATACATTGATGTACATGGCATTGAAACCAACATAGAAAAAGGCATGGAAAATACTCGGCACATAATGCCAGAGACATTTTAACATGTGAAAGCTCATCAGGAGAATTGAGGGGAAAGCTATTGAGCAAAGATAGTGAGAATTTTTTACCAAAAGATTTTTTTAAATTAAGCAATGTTTTTCAGTTAGGAAACTAAAATTTAATTGGCAAATCATATTCAAAAGGAAGCCTGTCTATGCTACATACATTTCAGACACTCTCTGATCATAAGGAATGACTTGGTTAATGAATGGCCAAATTAATTAAACACATAATTTTAAAAATAGTCAAAGTTTGTTGCTGCAGCTGTTTTGTTCACCTGGTTGCCGAAGAGGTTGAATCCATTGATTGCTTCTAGAGCTGCCTTTGCTAAGCCAACAGAGCTGAAAGAGAAGAGGAAATGCTTTAAAACTCTGGCCCCAAAATAAGAACCACTATCTGATGAATGTGCACAAGCAAGCTTCTTCATTAACACTTGTAACAATTTCCGTAAGAAGAACGTCTGAGAGAGTTGGGAATGACATTTCACTGTTTTAATTTTTCTCTTTTATAGTTAGTGATCTTTTGGGGAAAATACTTCTAAGTTCACCTTGACGTAGACAAATGGTTGTGCGATTGATGGGAGTAGTTTTAATTCTGGGATCATTTATATTCACTAACGCGGGAGGAAGGGTGAACTTCAGAGGACGCGTTGTTACGCTGTGCTGCGTGCACAGTAAGAACCGGGCTGGGCATTATCAGCTCAGGTCAATAAAAGAGCTTTTCTGATGTCAATCTGAACCTTAAAAAATGATCTCACACATCCTAAGTTCAAGTGCTCTTGGCTTAGGGACTAATAAAATGGCCATTGTTGTATGTTCACAACTAACCAGCATACCTCACATTTTTTGCTGTTGTCTTCTCTTTGTAATAAAATGTGTATTTCTTTTAACTCTCAAATACCACATACAAGAGTACTGAAAAACGAGAAGACCCAAATTTCATTAAAAATGGGACACTGTCGCCCAGCCGGGCGGGGCTCAGTGGTTGAGCGTCGACCTGGGATCCAGGCGATCAGGGTTCAATTTCCGGTCAGGGCACATGCCCGGGTTGTGGGCTCGATCAATGACTCTCTCATCATTGATGTTTCTATCTCTCTCTCTCTCTCCCTCTCCTTTCCTCTCTCTGAAATCAATAAAGATATAAAAAATAAAATAAAAAATAGGACACTGTCATCTTATAAAAACCTTTAAATATTTTAGACCTCATACCCAGTTTATCTTACTTACTGCAATTTTTTTCTAAAAGCAAACTCATACACCATGAATAGCAAACATAATTAATGATGTCAGCATTTCAGCATGTCTCCAATGCACAGACTACAGAGTGGGGTCCCCAAGCAGCAGCACAGCCCGGAACCCGTTAGCAATGCTGGCTCTCCCTCCTCGGGAGAGGCCTGCTCTCAGCACAGAAGCCCTCCAGGTGCCTGAGCACACTCCACATTTGAGCACCACTGCTCTGAGCTGTCCGTGTCATCGTGACCTACATTTTCTATGGCTTGTTTACGTGAAATGTTCCTCAGTAAGCAGTATTTGAATTACAGGATGGCAAATAGATGAAAAACTTAACATGCACAGATGGGAAAGGGGTGTAGACAGTTTTCCCTATTCCTCCCCCTAAGAGCAGCTGAAAGTCCTGGGTATTACACAGACAAAGCTAGAAAGGCTCAGGAGGATGGGAAAGCAGGCTGGCCAGGAACCATTCCCTTTCTGGTATACAGGCTGGAGCTGAAGACACAGTAACCAGGGGACACCAGCAGGCACATACAGAAAAAAAAAGGTCCCACAAAAGCCTGCTCCCTCCAGCCAAAGGTCCTGAAAAAGGGCAGTCTAGCAAAACAGAAAACTTTCAGACAATGAGCACTCAGAAAAATCTGTGGCTGAGTGGGAATCCTGGACTGCCACACCCCTGAATCTGCAATGAGGAACTTGCACCAGACCCCCAACCCTCTTAGCTATGCCTATCAGAGAGGTCCAAGGAGGAAGCCAGACTTTTAGTTCCGATGGGTAGTCAGAGGTCTCCCCTCTCATACCTCAGTGTCAGTAGAGATCCCCTGTAGACCCTGGACTTCCACTGCCCATCAGCAATGAGGTAACCCTCTGATTCCTGCCGGGATGGCATCAGAGGAGGTCACTGGGGAGTCAGGACTTCCACTGATGCCAACTATAGAGGGGCCACACCATTTCCCTGTCAGATAAGCGGAGGCTAACTGGGAGTCAGTAATGAGGCCCTCCTATCCTTCTACCAGGGATGCACCATGGAGGCCACCTGCGGAGCTAGACATCTCCCCCAGGCCCAGCAGGACAAGGAGTCTCCATCTCAGCTGTAGGCAAAAACCTGGCCTGACATTCTCACCTAGCAGCAATGAGGCAACGCCCCGCCCCCTGACCATCAGAGTGGTGTCAAAAAGCACAGCTAAAATAAAAAATTAAAATAAGATCCATGGTGTTATAATATGATGCCCAAAATGTCCCTGTCTCAATAAAAAATCACTCATCATATCTAGAACCAAGAATATCTCCGGCGGGATAATAAAGGACAATCAGTGGATGCCAGCTGAGACGCAGGCGGTGCTGGAGTGATCTGACAACGACGTTAAAGTGGCCATGATAAAAATGCTCCAGTGAGCAATTATGAATATGAATGAAAAAGAGGAAAAGACAGCCAGCCTCGGCTAAGAAACTGAAAGTATCAGCAAAGTTTTCAGAAGCAAAAAATACAGTAATCAAAATAAAAGGCTCAGTGGGCAGGATCAGTGGCAGAATGGAGGAGACAGAAGCATAACTAAATTGGAAGGTAAAACAATAAAAATTATCCAATACAAACAAGAGAGAGAAAACAGACTAGAATAAAGAGAGCCTCGAGGACTCGAACATTCATGTCACTGCACTTCCTAGAGGAACGAAGGAACAGGGCAAGATAAAAAAGTACTGGAAATATGGCAAAAACTTTCCAGTACAGCTACGGATTCAAGCAGCTAAGTGAAACCGGTACAGAATGCAATGAAAGTATCCATGCTGGGTCACATCACAGCTTCTGCAAACCAAAGACAAAGGAAACATCTTGAAAGTAGCCAGAGAAGACACTTGACCTGCAGGGGAAAACAACTGAATGAGTCTGAATTGCTCATCAGGAGCCACAAAGGCTAAAAAAATGTGGCATCAAAAAAGAACTTCCCCGACCAGACATGGCCTAGCTACTGACCCTGAGCGACAGGATGTGCTGGAAGTTACACTGCATGACCTCCGAGACTAGATCATAAAGGCAACCCAGCCACTTCCGCCCCTCTCTTTTGGGATGTTGGACCTTGGGACCCAGCCAGCATGCGGCCAGGAAGCCTGTATGGAAAAACTTCATGTATGTCATACGTGAGGTTTTGACTGTTGACTGGGACTGCAGGTTCCAGTCAACAATCCAATACCTGAGGATGCCTTCAAGTTGGCTCCAGCCCCAGCCCCAGCCGACAGCAAACATGTAAGAGGCCCTAAGCATGCACATGCTAGTTTAGCCCCGTCAAACCTCAGAACCACGAGAATTCGTAATAAGAGAGAGTTCTGTGCCTCTACATTTGGGTGGTTTTCTTGCAACAATAGGTAACCAGAAAACAACCTAAGTAGAGTCCCTAACTCTACCGTGGACCCAAAACAAGTGGGCTGGCTGCGCATACTTAGCCTTGTACACTGCAAATGAAAGCCAGCAGTACTGGCACAGGCATCTAGGCTGCTAGACCTTAGGGAGCAGGGAGCCCGGGGGTTGTGCATTCTGACAGCTCATGCAGAAACATTCATTGTCGGCTCATCTGCTTGTTTAGGAGTGTGTTCCTGAGGTCCTAGAAGTTCTCCGTTAGCTCCCAATGTATAAACTTTTACATGCATTTAATTGAGTAATACCAGAAAGCCTCCACTGTCAGTGTGAGGTACACGTGTTTTTAAGACTGCATGAATAATAACTTATTCAAAAAGCAAGAACCTAAGAAATTCTGCACTGCAGGAGATATACAATGTAGCTAGCCCAGGGTTCCATCTTCGACAGTGGTGCAGAAAGACAGCTACCGGATGAATTTGGAAATTGTCTCCTAATTAAAGCATTACAAAAGAAACAAACACTGTACCCGGACTAGGAAATGTTAAATTCTTTCCAGTTTAATCTTCTTTCCCAATGCAACTGGCTAAATAATTGGACTTAATTGAAATGTACAAATATGTTAATTTATTATCCCACTGTATATTTAAATCTCTGGCAACAGCAAGCTATTTAGAAAATGAAACACACTCCTAAAGTGATCTTCTCATTGGCAAATATAACACATAGTGTTGTTAGAATTGAAAATGTTTACCTAGCACAAGACATTCTTAGAAAATTATTCTAGCCCAGTTGGAGTGACTCAGTTGGTCGAGCATCGTCCTGTGCACAGAAAGGTTGCTGGTTCAATTCCCAGTCAGGGCACATACCTGGGTTGTGGGTTTGATCCCCAGTTGGGGCACGTACAGAAAGCAACTGACTGATGTTTCTCTTCCACATCAATGTCTCTCTCTTTCTCCCCCTTCCTCTCTCTAAGCACGTCCTTGAGTGAGGATTATTCCATTATTAGCTATTGAATATATTGATATTAGGTGACCAGTACCAAAAGAACATTTACCACTTTGATTTTCACGAAGTGCTACTGCACTGTTTACTTAAGAGGGCTGAAGTAAAGTGAGGTTTTCTCGGTAGATAATTTGTAATAAAGTGATTTGTTGTATAAATCAACACTTTTCTACAAAAGATAATGGGTTTAGACTAGGTGATTTGCAAGCCCACCTGGACTCCAAAAAATTAACTGGCAAGTACGGGAACTAAATTCACAACCACCTGTCATTAACACTATGCTTTAGCTCCCTGAGCTACCAATCATACCTCCTCAAAGGAAAAGGACTGTGAGTCCTGTGGTTTTAATGGATGTTCATGGATTGTTCGGTCTGGCAAAAATACATAAAATGAAGCCCAATAGATGGGTAGTTGCTTCTACTATCATAGCTCAAAGACTGGAACACCAAAGATGGCTTAAGACTTAGCAGTTAATTTAAGTAACAAGCCCTGTACGGAGTAAAGTGGCCACTAACAGCATCTTTAGCTGGGTAAAGTGGTGCTAGGACGGCTACGTATCTGATAGTTCAGTGATGGCGACAAATTGTGCTCTGTCTCTCGAGCTCCTGCTCAGGACTGAATATACAAAGACACAGGAGAATGGCACAGACAATCAGAGGGCAAGAGCAGGAGGCGTACACTTAGAGCCAGGATCTGCAGACACTATTTCAGGGCAGCTGGAATTACAGAAATAGCCTAAGATATAAAAGGGTATTGTGCTAAGCAGTCAAGATCAGCTCCAGCCAGGCAGACAGTTCTGAGACTAAGAATGGTGACTCAATCCTGGCTGGCGGTAGCTCTCCATCCATGCCCAGGACTCCTGCCACCATCACTGCTCCCAGGAGGACCAACTTCTCCTGCACCTTCAAAATAGACCCTTTTGGCACAGAAGTGACACTTCCAAAATGGGCTGTGGAGATCAGAACTCAGAATCATTTGGAAAAAAGATATGCTTAAAGTTATTTTGGGGAATTGTAAAGTGTTATACATGGAAAACTAGAATAAAAATGTTAAATGTATAAAACCCATCATCCAAATCTAAATGACAAGCTTCATTTCCCATCCATGTGCATAAAACTGGCTTGCAAAAATTAATATTAATTTTGCTTGCAAAGGGTAGCAAAGAACATCACATAATAACCTTCCAAGCCCTGAAATAAAATCTTTAATGATTCAATGTCAAGACTGACACCTTGGTTACAGGAAAGCAATTTGGAGCCTCTGTTTTTTTCACTAGGGACGTTCCAACACCCTCACTTTCTAGAGTTAATGGTAATTTTTACCCAAGGTTCTTTCTGAGTTTACAGCAGGTCTCAGATAACGTCCTTTCATTTCATGTCGTTTCAGCACAACACTGCTGAGGAAATAACATCAATTCCCGGTGGAGTCCCTGGAGTTGGAATGGTGTCCCCCGTCTGTGGGTTTTTCTGGGGACTCCAGTTTCCAATGTCCTCCCACATCCCACGATGGGCAGGTTCGGTGAGCCCGATGAGTGGCCTGTGTATAAGTGGCCTGCTACGGAAGGCGTTCTGTCTGGGGTGGGGATGGGGGGGTGTCTGCCTTGAGCCCTGAACTGGAACAAGCAGGCTGGAAAATCATTCTCTCACTGTTTTTTATTAGTCTTTCTTAAATGTTTGTGTAGCTCACATTTCTCTCGATGTTTAACATCAGAAGTGTTTGTGTCCTTATTTAGAAGTCCGGTGGCATTTTTGTGACCTATGCCATAGGAACTTAACTCTCATTTATATCAATTAGCCTTCAGTAAAACTGGTTTTGTTATGTGTTATTTCACTTAAAGTTACAGTTCCCAATAAGCTACTGACAACATTAAGTGAGGACTTACTGTACTACAGTTTCTATAAACAGAAAAGCCCCTACTCAGATATTTTATAATAAAATGTCAGTGTGATCGCATTGGCCCATATGAAATGGTTACTAAAAAGCAGAGAAGGGGTGTGATAAAAGGTAAGCTTTTAAAAATCACCTTTTCTAGCTGAGCCCACCTTTCTCTATCGTGTGGCTGAGGCTCTGGAACACTGGGAGCTTAATCTGGATGACGGCTGAAGGGTAATGTTATCTTACTATTTTTCATTTGCCAAAATTTGCTTAATGTCTGAACTGAACTTTCCCTCTAGGTACTGGCGCCTGCACTGATTGCTGCTGTTCTGCTCTGTCAGAGAAATGCCTCGTCCAAGTCATAAACTTATAGGAAAATGGTTTTATATTAGTTAACTGGCATTAATCAGAGGTCCTTTTCCTTTCCATCTTTGTTATTCACGGGCTCAGAAGTGTGTGCGTACACTTGTATTCTAGTGATTACATATATATATATACACATACACACATGCTACACACACACCCACATACACATACATATGCTACATATACACATGTATCTACCCATACACACACATGTATATCAACATATATGCATGTTAATGCGGTCATTACAACAACTTCATAAAGTAGGAACTATTATTACCTTCATTTTACAGATGGGGAGACTGAAGCATTGGAGACATTATACAGCTAGTGACCGGGAGCCAGTCTTCAGTTTACTAAACATCTTACATCCACTTAATTTTTTCTGTGATTAGTCCTTCTATCCAAAAAAGTACAGAGCAGCAGATTCCTCTTAACCAGTGTTTCCTAAACTGTTTCCCTACTTCATTTACGTCTCAATGGTCTAAGCTGACCTACAGCTCATCATCTTTAAATTCTCAAATCTTTTAGTGTGCAACAGGCAAGACCCATTGAGCTATACTTTTTAGTTAAAAGATGAACTCCAGGGCATAAATTTAGAATACCTGAAAGGTGCAATCAGTCACTAAAACTATTTCCCTAACCCTAAGGAGAAAGGGAATTCATAAACTATTAACGTGAGTCGACAGCCATTGCTATTTATTCAAACCCACTAAACCAAAGCTCTGGAGGCTGATTGCACCTCTTCTAGAAAATGATGAATGTCACGCAGAATGTGAAAGGCCTGAGCCTGCCTGGTTAGGGTGGAAGTCTGCTCTGTGCTGCGGAGGGATTTCACATGTGATGCATGCACGCTGGTGTCTGGCAATTTCGGGCCTTGACTTTCAAAGAGCATCTGTGTGAGGGGAGGAAGGTCAGGCCCCGGGTGGGAGGCTGACACACCAGCTCTGACCCTGGAAGGCTGGGAAAGACACCCGCTCCTCCCCGCACCTGTTCAAGGGCAAGAGAGCTGACTCTTTAATTTTAAGTGAATTTCATCTGCATCACATATAGAAAAAAAGGAGATGAAATTAACATAGAAACTACAGTTCCAATCTAATACTCTGATTTTTATTCATATTCAAATTCACACATTTAAATTAAAAAAAAACCCAACTCAGAAATCAGCAAATTACCTCGAATGTAGCTCCGTGCTGCCATTATTATATTTGCTTCCTCTTTCCCAGACACCAAAGTCAGGCACCCGGTAAACTCTTTCTACACAAAATACAAGGTTTTGAATAAAAGAGACCTAAAAGAAAATAAATGGAAGATAAGGACACATGCAGGAACAGACGCTTAGATACTGACAAAAACAATTAGACACCATTTGAAATCCAGCACGTTCTGACATGCTGAAATTCTCGCGATGACTACATCACTACCAATACTGTGTTCAGGCCTGAAGTAAGCGCCTAGTATCGTGCCACATGGACATAAAGCTGCCATCCTGCCACAGGTGCTTCAACCGTAATTCTTCAGTGATATATCTATCACTGTTTGTGAGGGCTGTGCATCTTAAGAATTAAGAAAAACATAAAGCACTGTTTTATAGTAGGTAACATCTGGAATTTCCAATGTGCATATGAGATGTCAAAAAAGTCTAAAACTTTGGCAATAAAAAGGTATTTCTCTGTTCTGCAACAAGCCAGACCCATGTTGGGTCGAGCTGGAGTCCCGAGTCTATTACCCCTGGAATCTATCTTCCTCCCACCTTTCCATAGCTACAGGTTCCCCTTCCTATGAACTCAAAGCTGACAGTTGGAGGTGGGCTCCAAACAATAGCCAGGAGTCACACAGCTTCCAAGTAACAATTTCAGACGTTTGATGAAATTTACATTCTCAAAAATAACTGTAAAAGCAAAGATTATGGTCAGCTATTTAATACAAGTTTATTCATTTTAATAAAGGCATTCTCTAAGTAGGGTACTGGTCCTGATTACAGGTTCTTAGTTTAGTTGTCATGTCTGGTTCAATCTGGCAAACCGAACACATGCAGTAGTAGTTCTGCCCACCCTTCATCACAAGGCCCCTCTGGAGTGGCGATACATACCCCCACCTCCACCCGGCACACAGAATGGCAGAACCTTCTCAAAGTCTCATTTATAAGAGAAAGAAATCATGTCTTCAAAGGAAGCTCATTCCCTGAAAGGTACTAGGCAGCCCATTTACTGGCCTCCATATGATCCTGACACAGCCCATAGGCTCTCAGGAGAAAGCTAGTGAGCAGCAATAACATTTTATTATTCCAGGGTTTTAAGTGTACATGTTGAAGGCTTATTGATATTGGCTACATAAAAATTTTATATTACCAAATAAAACCTACAAGGCCGAGAAAAAGCACAAGAAAACAAAAAATAAATTCAAGAAGAAAATACCAAAATTGCTTAAGTATAAAACAGAATGCAAAGCTTAAAGCAATATCATATTTATAAAATGTCAGGTGACAAGTGAAGATTTAAATGAACTATGGTAGATATTGAGAAAGCAAAAAATAAATGTTAAAAATTGAAAATGAAAATCAAATACCAAACAAAATGAAGCCATCACTGACCCAGGCAATTTTACCACTGCCATTAGCAACATGATGGGAAATCGCCTGCAACCATCACATTGGTTGCTGCTTATTGTGAACAGATACACACTGGGCTCTGCTGGGACCCGAGCTACTGCCCCTGTGCCTTGGAGCTCCTCTAAGTGGCGAGACGGGAAAGGCTGAATGAGCCCGTTTCGGGAGCCCTCCTCTCCTGGTCTCACTTGTATTTGTTTTACATTTAGGAGTCTGCTTAAGACTGGTCTGAAATAGGGGTCCCCAATCCCTCCCCTACCCAAAATACCTGAATACCACCATTTCACGATATTGTTAAAAAAGGAGAATGACTTAGATGAAACAAACACATGTAATTCTTTGATGAATCAGGCAGAGGAAACCTTAGTGATTATTTATTTCTTCATATCATCATTTCTTGTTATTTCTCTTCATTCCTAAGTAGACTTTACTTACTGTAATTAAAAACTACAGCTGGAAGGACCTACAAGACTATAAGCCACGAGAGGGCAGGACTGCACGCACCCCCTTCAGAGGTCTCGTGATGGTCCTGGCGGTTAGTGTCTGACCACGCTTTCCCTGCGTGGGTCACGGGACAGGAAGAATGACCGGTCCACACAGCATGCCTCTTCTTTGGGGACCTCCTGTTGTGTGTACTGGCTCAATAAGAGCCCTGTGTTGCGGCTGTGGCTCAGCTGAAAGTGTGTCGCTGGTGTGTGTGTGCGCGCGCATGTATGCATGCGTGCGTGCGTGTTTGTGAGTATGTGTGTGTGTGTGTATGTGTCTCCTCAACTCTGGGCAAAAATTCAGTTCAAATTCCCAATAAGAGTAAGAACATGGTATTTATCTTTTGAAAAACATCAAGAACCCTGCTGAGAGCACCACAAATAAAAATAATACAATATGATAAAGGTATCTTTCTATGTTTAAAAGGATGGGTTGCAAAAAGGAATGATGAAAAACATAACTGAGAAAATCTGCAAATGCCATTTTACTTTCATTGTCACTAAAACTTTCTGAAAGTTATTTCAGATCACCTTAAAAACAGCCTTCATAGGAGTACAATTTCATAACTTGTTACATATTTTTTCATTTTCAAAGTGCCTTGTATTGAAAATATGAAGACTTTTTGATCCAACATCCCAAATCCAGTATCTGATTATATGAACTGAAGAATAATCCATTTTTTATGAAACTAAAAATAAGTTTTAAAAAATAAAAAAAAAGAAATCCTTGGAGATGAGATTTGTGCTGAAGAATTTGAGGAGCGCGTACCTCGTCTGTGTTGTAGATGATCTGCAGGCCCGAGGAAATCATCTCCACCAGGTAAAGGAGGTACAGAGACACCGCATTGATCTGCAAGTGAACAGCAGTGTGAGGGGTTCCAGGAAACAGTGGAAATATCATGTTACGAAGTGTAAAAATAAAATTACAAGTCATTTGCTCTTATTGTGGTCTATAAAAAGTATTTCCCTTCCTCGTGTAAAATAAAGGAGCTGTGGGCTTAGTTCCTAATAAAATCCCAGTTTCGTATATAAAACTCTAAAATCCTCAAATTCACGTGATGGTTAACACCTGGTTAGGCAAACGGCCACAGGTAGAACTTTTAGCAGGTGTTTCTATAGCATTTTTTTCAGACTTATTCTCAAATTTGGGACTAAAACACCCCTATATTGGAATAGTTTGCCCCAAAGGGAGCTATGTCTTGTCGATCCATCTCAAACCTGTGCAAATGAGAAAGCTGTGTGTCCAGGATGGTGGGGACTCTGCCAACCACCACAAACAATATGCATCTAAAAAGTCTTCTTTCAGAGAAGACAGAACTTATGAAAGCAATTGCAGGCACATATTAATTTTAATCAACAGTATAGCATAGAATTTAAAATCTACTTATGAACAAATGGCTTCAAAGAGGTTTCACTCCTCCGGACAACCATTTAGGGCTACACCTCCAGGAGCTCTCTGCTCTGACTTTTGAGATGCTTCTGTGAGAAACTATCACTGACAAACTGTAAAGGGACTGCCAAGTAGCTGGTCAACCAGCATTTATTGAACACCTACTGAGCTTAAATTCTGGGATTAAAAAAATAAATGAGCCATTAATTTCTGAAAACCCCATTTTAGATAGTAAACATTTGTCAAAGCAAGAGGTACATAGAACCTAATTATGTGAGAGTTATAAAAAGAAGGCGAGAAACGACATATTCATATACTACTAAGTCCCACTTATTTATTGGTTACAAATAAGAGTTTGTGCTGCATAGAAATGGGGACAGTGCACTATGTTTGGAGGAGTCATACTGAAGTAAGACATTTCTGATCGCTAGAAACAGTAACTATAAAAAGAAGGTATTCTTATTTTAGTACAAAATAATGAATAATAAGTATTCTGTCATAAAGCTCACAGAACCAAAAGATAAGCAGGAAGGAAATGCATTACAGATAAGTAACAAACATGATATTTGTGTCCTGGAGCCAAGGCAACAAGATGTCCACTTGAGAGCAGCACAAAATGTTGAAGCAAAACATAAGATCCTGCAGTGTGTTCTTAGCACAGGTACAGAATTTAATACATTATATCAGACAAAATTTACAGGCTCCAGAGTGGCTTGTGGAATCTCATTTTAGTGTATGTCTTTAGCTTTATTGAAAATTTATATATTAAAAATGAATTGCCATGAACAGAAACTTCTGATCTGCTGTTACAGCCCTGTCAATGCTGTTACTCCCTGGTTCCTAAGTGTTGAAATTCTTTCAAATTTAGTAATAAGTACAAGCTTTTGTCATGGAAAAAACTGTAGGATTCCTTCTTTTAGATAGTCCTAAGAACATTATAATCATTCCAGTTGCCCTTCTAGCTTGTGGACCAAGAAGTCAGTCAAATTTAATATTCAACCACAATAACTAGTTCAGCCCTGGTGGTTAGCATTTCATTCCTCATTTCGTGGTTGGTTTTCTTCTTCCACTTTGAACAACTTATGAAATCTACTTTTTAAAAACTGTAAATAGCCTGGACTGTTCTCTGCAGTAGAGTATAAATAGAGAAGACTTATAGTGTCTTCTCACCTGAAGATGGCCATACTCCTCGTAGGAGAGGACCTCATCTCCTGTGCGCACATTGAATATCGAGTGAAGACACGTTGTTGGGCGTGGATCTTGCTTAAACTGCTGGACCTAGAATCGAATATAAAATTTACACAATGCTAGGCATGTTCTCATTCAAAATTAGAGATTATAAATTATTTTTCATGAAACTTTTGAAAGAGGAAAGTTACAGCTTATAGGTAGAGAACAGAACAAAACAGAAACGTTACTTTTTCTGAAAAACAAAACAGACAAAACACATAACTGGTAACTTAATGGAGTGAACATGACTGTTGAATACTTACTTGGTATTTCACAAACACAGCAACTCAAGTGTAACAGGGAGCACGTTAATGTGGTAACAGTGGCTTCTGCAATGCTTTGAATTGTATTCTAGAGTCGAATAATAGTTTTACTCAGTGGGACAGGACTTCTGGGCTTGTATCCCACTGTCCTGCTATCTGGACATGCTTACATGACACTCAATGAAAAAGTGCTTCAGGCCACCACATTCTAATTCAGTAAGTGTTCATAGCCTCAAATGCTGCTTCCTTCTCTAAGGATCACAAAATATAACCTATGCTCCTATCGACATGTTTTCCTTTCCTTTTCCACCTACGCACTTACTACTAAGGCAGCAATTCTAAGAGAACATAGTCCATGCCTTTATTCATTCAACATAAAATTCAGCCATTTTGGAACACAAAGTCAATGCTAAATAGTCTAACAGGACAACAAAATCATCTACTCGTCTGGATCCCGGCAATTCAACCTGGCAAACACATACTGATACCAGCTGTAGGCCAGGTGTTGGGCTGGCCCCTGGAAGCACGGGCTGCCAGCAGCAGAGGATGAATGGATGACACAAGACTCTGAGAAGGCAAGTGTCCTCCCTCTGAAAAGATGTGACGACAGTATCTGGGTGGTCATGAGCTTGCCTCGCTTCATTGGGCTAAGGTAGCTACACACAGGCATATTCTCTGCTCCACCTTCAAAATTCTCATCCTTGAAACCCTCCCTCAAAACCTCCTCTCGAGTAAAGTCCCTTCTGAACCCCAGTAAATTCCTTTCTCTGGATTCCCACATCAGGGTACTTATCCCTCAATTATTTCTACTGTCTTTTATGTTTATTAGATACCTGTATCTCCCACTATTTTATAAGCTTCTGGAAGCTACACTATCCAATACGGTAGCCACTAGCTACATGCGACTAATTAAATCACAATGAAATAAAATTTCGAAATTCAGTCCCTCAGTCACACAGGCCACAATGTCAAGTGCTCAGTAGCCACATGTGGCTAGTGGTTTCTGTATTGTTCAACACAGTAAAACAGAACATTTCTACCATCATAGATGTTTACTGGACAGTACTGTGCTAGATGGCACTGCGCTACCTTTGTAGTGCCCAAGAGCCCTGCACAAATACGACCCACCCCATGACTGAAGTCAACCAAATCAAAGTCAGGGCCTATCAGCAGGTCATCAGGAACAAAAGAATGAGGTAAAAGTAGGACGTGCTCTATAAAGTGACCAAGCCATCCAGCGCTAGAAGGGTAAGAAGGCTATCGCTTCTCAGTACCGACTGCTGGCAGTGGTCTTGGACTGCACAGATAGAAATCCATGTGGTCACTCCTTCCACACTGCCATGATTACCATCTCTGCTGAACATTATTCTGGAGCTTAGACAAAAATATGGTTAAATTAAAACAAAATCCATCTTGCCTATTTAATAAGGATCTATAAAGGGATATGGTCTTATCAGTTTAATAAAGTGGCTGCTGCAGCTGTCAAGGCAGTGTTTGTCATTTGTCTTCTAGACACACAGTACCCAGCAGGAGAATTTATATTCAATCACTGTGTCAGGGGAAAGGCAACTGCTAAACAATTCAAGATGCTCAAATGGAAATTATGTAACTATGCTTTCAGTCTCAAAGCTGCTAAAGGACAAATAATTTAAAATTTCATAAAAAAAATAAGACCCAAACTCTATAAGCTTTGAAATGTAATGGGGGGAATTGTATGTGAATTACAGACAAAAAGTACTCTTGAAAGCAGTGAAAATCAAGGAGACATCAATTTGTATTTTATGTCTGGCATCTGGCAAGTAAAAGTAAAGAATGATTAAAGCAAAATTTGCTACACTAAAAAAATCTAGAATAATGTTTTCTTTCTTCTATTTTATTTAGATTTTCTGAAAACATTAATCAATGTAAATAAGTAGCTTCTCATTTAGGAAAAGGTAACTTCATCCATTCTTAATGTATAACTGTAAAATATGCACTTAGGTAAGAAACACCATCTCACAAGGCAATCCTGGAAGAATAAACCTTACAAAATTTTAATGATTTCTCATGAACTGAAAATTACCTAGTAGCATTTTAAGCAAACAAATGTTTAAGTCAATAAAGGCAGCAATGTGCATAGCCTAGTGGAAAGCAAGTCTCCACCCTCCAACCTGCAGACTGAATCAATGTTGAAACATTCTGAACGCTTCTCCTTAAGGACCATGAGAAGAGTAAATGACAGAATGGGTGCACAAACATTCAGAGGCAAAATACCTGATGTTAATAAGTAAGCAGTAAGCAGTAAGGCGTGCAAGACAATGATAGACGTCAGACTGCTCTATCTTCTGCATATTTACCCACTCAAATCCATACTAAGTTAAAAATATCTTTTAGTTAATATTCTTAGAAAATATGTTGGGAAGTATGCCTTTCAATGAGAAATCAGTGGAAGTAGAGGCCTTAGACTTCCTTAGTCATGATTTCACTTAAGAAGACAGAGAAGGTGAGCCTTCAGGTCAAACAGTAAATGAACACTATAAACAGGCTTCCTTTAGTTTTAAAGAAAGGCTAAGAGATACATATTTCTCATTTTAAGATATGGTGGCATTCCCTGCTGTTGTGGAACCATGAAGGTAGTTGAGAGCCAGTAAGATGTTAAAGTACAGTAGGCAGCAGGGAGCTAGACGCGTGGTCCAAGCTCCCCGAGCCAGCCCTCATGTCATCTGAGGATTATAGTAACATCCTCCATTCCTGCTCTGACAAGTGGGGATCCACAAAGATTATAACAATAAAAATGCTTTAAAATTTTAAAGCCCTACAGTTTGTGGTATGCATAAATACCTAATCCCCATGTCATCCACATCTTCTTACAACTCACTGACTTCAGTGATCTACCATTGTTCATACAAGGAAAAAGATGTTTATCCTTCATAATTTAAGGACTTCAAGACAGCTGAAGTCATATCCAAGATGTACTCCGAAAACAACATAATAGCGAAGACTGGTTAGTGAGGTGGGATAATACTTAGAAAGGAAAATCAAGAATTGACTAAAACAAGCCAGAAAGAAAAAACTGCATATTACATCACTCCCTTCCTTCTGATGAGCAATTATAATTTAGACCTATCAACTAGCTCAGCACACACATGAAATTCATGGCTCTCAGCATTTCCTTGAGAGAAAAGTTGAATTCACAGATATTAGGTGCTCATGAAATGATGTCAGATAAACAGAAAACTTCACACACTTAGGGAAAAAAAACTTTAATCATAATTACTTCAATTATATATGATATACTGGTGTAATTCAAGTATGTCAGTCTGACATAGTACTTTATTCCAAGCATTGGGAAACCTTTATACTAATGATCTGCAAAGTCAAACCTCAGCAGACAAATTACAGGTTTGTAACACATCTCTGTTGTCAGCTTAGAATAAGTTTACTTCTTCTGCCAAGTAACATTTTCTCGTTGCCATATTTTGGTGACAGAATGTAGATGATTTTCTTTTTAAGTTTTAACTTCAGATATAGGTCTTAAAGAGAAAACATGCCATCACATTTTTTACCCTTTTCATGCATAAATTAAAACAACATAATATTCACATGATAAAAACATACAAAATGTTACAGAATCAAGACTGGCCATATAACTACTAGAGTCCATCTCTGCTAATGTATCATCAACCTGGGGGTGGACTTGGGGACACGTGACACACTCATACACATGGAGGGACACATTCTATTAGGACCCAGGGACACAGACTTGTAGGCAAGTAGGGAAATATCTCATTATACCTGTATGGTGCTTTACAGTTTACAAAGTTTTATTATGTATATTATTTTTTTAATTTCCACGGTAACCCTGTGCAGCTTGCTTTTTCTAAGTCTGTGATTCCTGTCTTTATATGTAAATGAAATATATTTTTAAACTAAAGTTTATTTAAGCCAGAGCATTCACATGTCCAAATGGAATTTTGATATGGATTTTCTCAAATAATATAATACTGGGTAGAATTATGGTTATTGTGAGGCTCCTGAGAAACTGAGTCTTTATCAAGCAAACACCAGATGCAAAATACAAACAAACTGAAGCCTAAATAATTCTTAATCAGCTGTAGCTGAGGCACTTCTTCCATTTCAGTATTCTGAAGCCGTGAGCTGGGCAGGCAGAGGCTGTTCCAGCCTACCTGCCCAGGATGCGGCTTCACCTTCTGAAAGTACATTCTTCCTTGGAAGATGCTGCTGCTCTATGGGTTAAATTAATCCTCCGGGATGACGTGAGGATTCCAGTCCAGCCGTGGTGTCTTACCTTATCGGCCTGCCGCATATAGCAATAGAGAATTCCTCGCATGCATTTTATAGCTGAGTGCTCCAGCTCATGGGTCCTTCCCTTGTCATCATCAATGCGCCTGGGTGAGAAAGATAACTCATAAAAGACTGGAAACGGATTTGAAAAGGAAGCAGTGCTTCTGATAATTAAGCATTTAACTATCTGGCTAATCCTATGTTCTGGCAACATCTACTAATTCTCTCACAGTGAAACTCTATTTCCCAGCAGATGCAGAAATGCTGAAAAAAAAAAATCCTATGATGAAAAATGTGCAGATTTCTCCTTTTTCAAGGAAGTAAGTCAATTGCTTTAAAAATAGCGCACAGTATTTTCCACACAGACTTGGCTGAAATTTTAAGCGATATTCCTATATTGGAAAAACCTACCAAAAGATTTTTTAAACTCACTGTTACAGAGTAGACACAATTTTTAGTATCAGTCCCTTTAGGTTATGCAACGGCCACTTGGATTCAAGGAAACACAGGTTCAGGTAGGCGTAGGCCTTCTTTGCTCTGCCACATATTATTAAATGACTATTATTTAGTAATGAAAGGTGGGCACTTCAGTCAAGGACACCTTCAACTAAATACACATCCAGTATGATACATGATGGATCTGGGCATGAGGTTTTATATTCCCAGGTCTTACTTTAAAAGCAGTTGACCACAGTTTACATTGCTTGCTTTTTAAAAGAAGAGCTGAAATCTAACTATTAAACTAGGCTAGCATGTCCTATGTCCTTATTACAGGTCAGTGACTGTGGGTATTGAATGGGGATGGCATTAAATCTGAAGACTGCGTTAGGTACTAAGGACGCCTTAACAACATTAATCCTCCCTGTTCATGAACATGGTATACCCTCCCACTTATTTGTATCTCCTTCAGTTTCCTTCTTTAGTTTTCCAAGTTCAGGTCTTTAACCTTTTCGGTTAAATTTATTCCTAGTAGTTTATGCTTTTTGATGCAATTGTAAATAGGATCATTCTCTTAATTTCTTCTTCTAATTATTTGTTACTGGTGTACAGAAATGCAAAAGATTTCTGTATATTGACTCTGTATCCTCCAACTTTATTTATTCATTCTAATAGGGGTTTTTTTTTGGGGGGGGGTGTTTTGGTGGAGTGTCTACAGTTCTCCATATATAGTGTCATGTCATCTGCAAATAATAAGTTTTACTTTTACTTTCCAATTTGGATGCCCTTCATTTCTTTTTCTTGTCTGATTGCTGTGGCCAGGACTTTCAATGCCATGTCTAACAGAAGTGGCATAGTGGGCATGCTTGTCTTGTCCCTGATCTCAGAGGAAAGGCTTTCAGCTTTCACCATTGAGTGTGATAGTAGCTGTTGGTTTATCATCTATGGCCTTTATTATGTTGAGATATGTTCCTTCTATACCCACTCTGTTGAGAGCTTTTATTATAAAATGGGATGTTTAACAGACAATGGTGGGGAGAGGGACTGGGGAGGGGGAAGGGATGGGGTGGAACAGGTCATTAGGGAGAAAAAGGGACATTTGTAATATTTTAAACAAAAATAAAATTAAAAAATAAATAAATAAAATAAAACGGGATGTTTAGATTTTGTCAAATGCTTTTTCTGCATCTATTGAGAAGAACAGATGGTTTTTATCCTTTATTTTTTCAATGTGATGTATCTTTCAGAGTAGATACATCTACTCTGTATCTATAAGATACAGAGGAAAAGACCTATACTTTTGTATTTTCCAAGCAATTTTCCCACAACATTTCCTTTAGAAAAATTTCTAATCTACAGAAAAAGCTAAAAGGATACTACAATGAATAAACCTTTTACACTTCATCTGGACTCACCAGTTGCAAAAATCAGCCTGCATTCTCTATTTATAATTTGTTTTCTGCATAATTTAAAAGTAAACTACAAACATCATTGCCCCTACATACTAAAGAAGTATCTCCTAAAAACAAGAGCATTCTCCTACATAACTGTAATATCATTATCATACCCAAGGAACTCAATATTGCTACTATATTATCTAATACATATTCTACACCAAATTCATCCAATTATCCCCAACATATACTTCATAGTCTTCTTTTAATGCACGATCCTTGATTGAATTCCCTCAAGAGTCATGCATTGTGTATAGCTGTCATGTTTCTCAAGCTTTTCTTAATCTAGCCATTTTCACACTTATTTTCTGATCTCTATGATAGCTACATTTTTAGGAGTCCAGGCAAGTTGATTTACAAATAGCCATAGTGGGGCTTTGTCTGATTTTACATTCACAGGTAGATCCATTTAAACACTTTGGGAGGAAATCAGCATGGGTGATGGGTACTTATCACCACGTCACATCGGAGGTGCCCATTATGGCTTGACCACTTGGGAAGGTGCTATGGGTGTTCCCTGTCCTCCTAAGACCAATGGCAGGATGACATTTAATGAACTATACTGTGCTTACATAAACACATGAAGAGATGCTTGTAGTGACACTGCAACAGGTATGCTGCATATCATCTTAGTGCTTGATTTTCCTTTATATATGCACCACATCAATGACTTAAGACTGAGGAATCATGTTCATGTGAAAGATACAATTTTCAAATCAGAAGTGCATGCACATGTCACCTTCAGAAAATTAATATTCAGAAACCTAATCTTAATGACAGTTAAAATGTATCACCACCAAGGATGTGTCAGGACACACGTTGATGCTTTTGATATGTAATGAAATAAATAAAGTAAGGAGAAACTCGGTATTGCTCAAGGATTTTTTTTTACTTTATAAAAGAATTACTTGATTTTCAATCAGACTTAACAAGTGATACTCCAGTGAAGAGCAGTGAGAAAAGCACTGAACTGTGGTGGTAGGGGGGATGAGCCCTGGCCCTGGCTCTACTATTAACTAGTTGTGTCATTTTGAACAAATCTTTAACTACTCTGGGCCCCAGTTCTATCATGTGCAATATTCAGTCACCATCTATTCCCTCTGTGGTCAACACCAACCATTTTAATGAGAATGGGAAGTTCATTTTGCCAAAAACTAATGCTGATTTGCAAGCCAAGAGATGAGGAATCTTGGTCATAAGTCATTAAAACGGGTCTCATGTAAACCCTCAGGAAAACAGAGAGGTTAGAGCCTAAAAGTGGATGTGAAGTCACACGTCCCACAGTGAGTCAGCAGCAGCAAAAAACACAGCTGACCACTTTGTCCTGAGTGAACAAAGCCTCTTATCTAGATGTGAGTGACTAGTGGAGCACACAGCAGCTCACCTGTATGCAAGAGCCACGGCCCAGGCTGCAGCAGCGCAGTACAGACTGTCCTGGACCTTGGCCTTCTGGTCACCGCCACAGGTTTTCGTGGGGAAGAGGCCCGTGGTTGGACTCTGATACAGCAGCACTGTGGCCTTGACTGCAATTGAGACAAGCAGCAGCATGAGCTGTACAGCCATCCACCCCCCGGGGCTTCCTCAGCCTCATGCCACTTCTGACAACTTTGTTATTTCTAAACTTTGCTGTAGCATTAAACTTTTGAAGATGTAGAAACAACTTCATGTTAACTCATTCCAGCCGATCTCTTTAGCTAGTTATGGCCACAAAGATAATAAAAGGGCAACATATAAATATATACCAGAATCTTCACCAAAATAAGTTGAATTAAGGTTTTACATGAAGTTGAAACAAACAAAAAAATCCTTACCTTGACAAATACATCAAATTTTATAGTATTTGCCATATAGGCTAAGTATAAGGCACATGAAGCAAACAGACAGAAAACAAACAGTTATTTCCAACTTAGGGTCTGATGAACAAAGAGGAGCCCCTCACACACATATCTCAAAGCTGCTCACTCACAGAAAACAAAATTTTCCAGGAAGATACTGGCAAAAATGGAACAAAACAAAACAACAACAAAATAGGACCTAACTTTAGTAACAGTAACCTGAAATTATCTTTTGTATCTCAATGAATTAGAAATGGTTATAAAAGGTTCAGGGCTACCTAGAAACCATGCTTAAGTAAATGGGAAAGGAAACTTCTACAAAACCTCTGTGTAAGTAGTAATCAGGAAAGCCTCTGGTTCTCAAGTCAAGTAATGTTTGGGAAGGCTAAAAGGACACTGAAGACATCGGTAACAGTTTTAAAATTATTCTAGGGACAGATAAGACTTGTTACATTCCTTCTATGGTCCTGGTGTCAACATGCAACTGGAATACAGAGCTGCCTAAGCCCAAAACTACCCCGACATCCCAATGAGAGGACACTATCATATAATGTACACGACAGAACTAAGGCAGAGCAAATATTAATCCTGGCTACCAAAGGACACTGTCTTCAGACGTCGCTTACCGATTCTGTAGTAATGATCCAGTTTATCCCATAGAGTTTCATGATCAGGTCTCAGAAGATTAACGCTTTTAAGAGGTTCATAAACTGAGCCTGAAAAAAAAATGAAAACACATCAAATGCAGTCATTTTCACCCACACAAACCAAGAAAACTTCTAAACAAATGAAGAAGCACCATTTAACAATCAAATTTTCGTGTTCATAGGTGAACGATTTTATTTCACTACTATTCAAGTTTTGGGTGGGGGAAGGAGAGAGAAGAAAGCACCCCTATAAGCAAGCATGGAAGGGTCTGAGTGTGATGAGGTACCCTCCCCCCCCCCAGTCACCAACAACTCAAATATCACTCATGCTCAGGTGCTAGTCACTAGCTCAATAATTTCAGTTCCGCTTGAGAAATACATCTTCTAAAATGCCCTGAAATCCAAACTTTAACCAAACCATGTTCAAGCTTCATCAGGCAATCTTCTGTCAAACACTCACAATGCTCACACCCCAAAAACCTCAAGGAAAACAGATAACACTGACATGCTCCAAAGCCATCATTCCACAAATCTTGATAGTTTTCATACGGATATTCTGAAGCCTCCTGTCTCCTTTCCAGGTAGATAATACTCTGGCCTTATTGCATGGTCTATAAGCAGAAACCATTTCGACTTCTCAGCCATGAAAACTACTCCAAAGTGTTAGCAGAGCACACTGCTCAAAGGCTACAGAATCCACAATAATCATAATTTGCAACAAAATCGATACAGAAAATTGTTCACTTGACTCGTATACTTTCTCAACTGTTGAATGAAAGGAAAACATCAGAATCCACAGCCATCAGACTAAGTAATGTCTCCAATTCATGTTAAAAGCACTCGGAAATCATAAACTCAAGGTCACCATTGATCTACCTCTGGATTCAGGGAATGGAAGTCATACAGTTGGACAACACAGCACAAGAACAAACCTATAATCTACCTGGGGGGTGGGATCACGTTGGCACGCATTAAGAATCTGTGACTTTAAAAAAATTAAAGTATTTATGCTCATAACATTGCTATGTTCAGTACCCTAGTTTAAAACCATGGGATCATGGGATTGGGAATCCCTCAATGGTTAGGCAGAAAGTCAACATTATGTACCAAGGAGAAGACTGACACATTGAGGCAACAGTCCCATCATCTTCTGTTGGAGAGAAATGATTTGTGGCTAGAGACAGGGATACAGAGTGGCCCGCTCTGAGTGAAGAGGCTTTTTAAAAATGAGCCTCCACAATGACACCAGAGTGGGCCCTAGTGAAGAATGGGGACAGTGCCATTGCCTGGTTTATAAAAATGGGATCGTGGACACACCCATCCCTGCCTCTTGATCGTCCCGCTTAACAACACTCTTGGAAATCACTAAAGGCAATGGGTGCGGATACCGTATGGCTCATTCAACTATTCGCGTTGGTGGGTACAGAATTAGTTTCTGAGTTTTGCCATCATAAACAACACTGCAAACATCCTTCTACACAAATGTACCTCGTAGTATGCTGGAGCCAGCTAGTACCTGCTGCGGGGAGTCAACCATTAAATTTTCAGGAACTTGGCAAGCTGGTTATGAAACAGCCATAACTGACAATTAACTTACAAAAACTTACAGCTAAATAATTATTAAAAACAAAGGTAATATTCAAAACTCAACACTTTCTACTTTACTTTACCACATTTTACTACTCTATATGCGCTTGAGTTTATTTATACATATTTATCTCTACATTGGAAATATCTACATTGGATACATCTCTTCCCAGCTCTGCACTAAGTGGTGTCCCAGATAACTGAGTAGCTGCAACAGAAACCAAACGTCTGCAAAGTTTAAAATATTGACTATCTGGCACTTTATAGAAAAAGTTTGCCCACCTCTGGTCTAAAGAAGTAGTATTGAATTAAATGATAAATTTAAACTACAATGTACTTTTACAAAATAAGGCAAATGCATCTTTTAAAAAGGCGAAGGCAATTCACATTCCTCCCAGAACTGCAAGTGCCCCTGTCTGAAGAGCTTCCCCATTGACAGGAGTACAGCAGCACCTCCTCAGGCCCTCATTTCAGTTCCCACACTGGCAGAGGGCCTTGGGATCTTTTTAAGCTGGCCACTTGGATGTGCTCTTCTGTGGGCGGCCCGCAGCCTATTGCCATTTGCTGTTGTTTGTTAGTGTTTTTGTCATCAATTTCTAAGAAGTACATTTTGATTTGTTATTTCACATTTCCATTTCAAATACTGTCCCCTGAGCTTTCATTAGTATACCAATTCTACAGTAGAAAAATGTTTAATAGTCGAATATATCTCTTTCCTCACTTGGTTACACTTTTCCTGTCTGTTTAAAGGTTTTTGACATGGACAACAGTGTGGTGACTGCAGGGTAGGTGGGGGGAGGTAAAAGAGAGCACAGAGGGGGGTAAATGGTGATGAAAAAAATAAAATAAAATAAAATAAAGTAAAATAATGTTTCTGACACCCCCTAGGTTAGATATACAGCCACCTCAATTTTCTATTAAGTTTTTTATTATGTAAAAAAAAAATTCTCATTTAGGTATTTGATGCATTAGGAATTTTTTCCTAAACTGTTTTTAAAGTAAGTAGTTAAGGTCATACTTTTTTTAAAGATCAAATTAGTCCTTTTTATTGTTTTAGGTTACAAAGTATTGAATAGAAAGATCCATTTATCCTAAATTATAAGCAGAGACTATCCCAAATTATGGGATTCAAATAGACCATTTCCTCTTGAAATAATTGCAATTTAATTTTCAAAAACTATATTAAAACTCTAGTATCTAATCATATAGCATTTGGCCTACATATATTTTCTCAGACATAACAATTTTATGTAAGATTTCAAACCTATCATGGACATGTGACATTTACAAATAGCTTAAACAATAGTCAGCTTTTGTGTGGCTGCACAGAGATCTCTAAAAATCTCCATTGCCTGGGGCAACATATATTGATTTGTAAAAAAAGAGTTTTAGGTAGCACTCAATACTGGGTATTGACTTGGAGTTGAAACATAAAGTAAACAGCATACTTTCATTTTTCTATGAGTCTTGGGTTCTAGCAGAAAAATACACCAAATTCATGAAAGTAGAATCTTAGCCCAGGAAAGAATCAATAAGTATCCCCATCTGCATTTTATAAATGGTTCTCACGCTGGGAATTGAGTGAGCTAAGGTTCACCAGTTTTGATGATGCAGATTTAGGGTCCTCTCCTGCCTCAGCTAACAGAGCAGCTAGCTTCGCAGACCAAGGACATGCTAAGAGCTGTGATTGCTCAGCTAGGAACAGGTCTAAGAAAGCCTAAGCAGTACAGCTGTGAAGACTGAGACATGCCAAGGCTAATAACACAATAAGAAAGTGAGTACTAAGAAGCAGTGGCTAACCAGAATCCCTGAGCCAACATGTTCCACAAGCTAATTGAGAACTATGCAGAATCTGAAGACCCTGTATTCGAGAGGGTCAAACTGCCCACAGTTCCACAAGGTCTGTAGGTTCCTTGTTCCCACTCAAATATGCATGTAGACAAGGTGAGAAGGTCAGGAAGGTGCAGACCAGGCAGGCATGGGACAGCAAAGAGACAGCTTTGTCTATGAACATAGAAAATACATGCAAACCACACCTGTGGTTTATCAGAATATTATTAGAACATCCATTGTTGAGCTGCTAAGATCAAAAGGCTCCCCAGAGTACAATAATCTGTGTTTATCCTACATATCATCTATATATGACACAATATATTTCAAGCAACTTTGGCATTGAAATTGCATCATTACCTTCAGATGATAACTTCTTCATCTTACAATTTCCTTTTACTCCTCCACTGATTAAAACTGGGACACTACTAGAGAAGGGACAAGTTATTCCAGTACATTCTCAACCTGTGTCCCTAGTGCTGGTATGAGGAAGTTCTCCACAAATACTGACTGGGTGGGCCACGTGGCAGAGGTCCTGCTCCGCCTTCTGCATGCCGACAGCCCTTCCTCATCACAGTACATTTTATTTTCACTATTTGATCAATGTGTTGTGCTACACTGGAAGCTGAATAAGGACAGGGACCGTACCTACAACACAGTAGGTGGCAGTAAATGTTGGGTAGGAAGGAGGGAGAAGGAGAGAAGCTGACGGAAACATGTTTCAGGAAACTTGTGATGATCAGTTGACAACTGTATTCTCACAGGCCACCCTGTGTGCTACTGTCCCATGCACATCCTCTCAGTTAACAGTCAAGTCCCACCTCATCAGACTCCCATAACTAGACAAGTTGGAAAACTTACCTCACTAACTTTAGAATGCCTACATGTTAACTTTTACAATTAAAAGATTTGAATACACTATATATGACTCAGCACTTTGAGCATCTCCAAGATCACTAATCTCTTCTTGCAAAACAAAGAAACAAAATGTAAACCATGATTTTCTTTACCATTCAGTTCACCCATGCACAGAAACGGAAAACATTAAGGAATAAATGTGCCCCCAGTTGGGGAATAAATAAATTATGAGACTGCCATGCAACAAAATACTTTAAAACTGTAAAGGAATGAGGTAGATCTATTTGTAATATCATGAAAGACACCAAAAATACAGTGTGAAAAAGTAATGTCAGAGAACAGGGCATAGAGTATGATACTATGTGTTGCAAACTAAGCAAAAATAACTGTACATGTGTGATTCTACAAATGTATATGCATATATAGATAAGTTAAGTACTTTAAAAGGTCTAGGACACATAACAAACTGTTAAAAAGAATTACTACTAGGGAGAGGACAGTGATTTTTACTCTACAAATTTCTGATTGTCTAAATATTATATGACAGGTATCCATTTACTAGTTGTATAACTTTTTCATATTAGAAAGGGAAATTCTGAATGCCCAGTGCTAATACTATACTGATGCTTTACCCACACTGTCCCATTTCATTATCCTGACAAAGCCACGCAGTTGGCATTACACTAGGCACAGAGGGGTGAAGTTACTAAACAGCAGTCTGCAACTGAACATGGCTCGGTGAAGACAAACTGCATGTGTGCTCTCTTCCTGACACTGTGAAACCTCATATAAAT